TTTTATTTATTTGAGAGAGAGAGTGAGGTGGGGGAGGGGCAGAGGGAGAGGGAGAGAATCCCAAGCAGACTCCCCATTGAGCATGGAGCCTGACATGGGGCTCAATCCCACGATCCTGAGATTACGACCAGAGCTGAAATGAAGAGTCAGATGCACAACTGACTGAGCCACCCATGTGCCCCTTGGCCAAGGCAATTTAAAGTAACTCAAAACAGATAATAGATGGCCATTAAATTTACTTTTTTATTTCCATTAATCATGAAAAAACCCACTTTTATGGTATTAAACCTTCTGCATATTCTTTGTTTACCAACCCTGTCTTTAGGTTAAGTTGTCAATGCAATGAAAGCAAGTAATTAAATATAAATGGGAACTCCTTTATAAAGGGATTTACTACATGTGAATTTCTTATAATAATTCATTTCTCCCCTTTCTGTTTTATGACTTATAACACATAACAAAAGCCATGTAATGGCTTTTGTAATTTATGAGGGATAATATAGTCAGAGTTAATGAAAAATCTGAATTATTGATTACCAGTAAAAATTCTCAATACACAGTTACCTAAGTATACTGCAAGGAAATCCCTGTTTTGAGTCTGTGTCCACCAGTGGGGTGAGGGGGACAGATTCTGTGGGTGTCTTGGTACCATCCTACTTTCCATTCCATGTATTAACAATGGGCAGATTGTTTCCCTTCCTAGTGTCGCATCTTGTCCCCACTTCTCAGAGAGTGCCTGAAAAAAGATTGCACAAGCATAAAAATTCAAGACAATACTTTCATTCTTCGATAGTTCATCAGCCTCTACAGATCTGGTTTGCTTACTATATATGAGTGATATTAATGAACCCAGTAAGTTCTCCTTTCCAGGAAAATTAAATATGTATACCAGAGGTCCCACTTTTACTAGGCTGAGAAGGTGCATATGAATCAAGAAAGCACTGGTTTTTCTAGAGGGGAAACGCATGTGCGATTTTACATAGAAAGTCCATTTCCAGTTACCTGGTATCCTAAGTTTGGGGACAGATGGGTCAAAAGAACCAAGCTCCCTTGGACTCACTTACCAGAGAGAGTGAATGAGTCATACTCGCCATAAATGTGGTTTGCATTTTACGGTGCCCTGTTAACTTGTTTCAAATACTGATTGATGGGTTCTCTGACAAACATACTGAAATGTGATCCAAACGGTAAGAACTTGTTCTGATTACCAAATTGAGAGACAATGGAACAGTGACATTTGTGATTTATTGTTGTGTTTTATTTCCTGGCACTCACATTTGTTTATATGTATTATGAGAACAATCCTTCCCCATGGATGTTTAAGAGTGTGTTTATTTTATATAATAACTTCAGTGTTGTGAGTTCAACTAAGCTTACTATGCTGTACAGTGCTGTTGAGAGTGTGTTATACGTGGTTTTGTTTTTGTTTTTGTTTCAATCATGGATAGAGAAAAGACATAAAATAAATTCACATTATTTTCTCCACTAATTTTTCCAAACATATGAACAACGTTGATACGCAGAGCCAGAAGAACAAAAGGTTATGAACATAGCCTACAGTGCCAGTAAGAGCTGGTTCAAATCCTGGCTCTGTCATTTACTAGATGTGTTACAACAGGCTGGCTACCAAAATTTTCTGAGCCTCAGCTCCTTGTCTATAAAGTGGAGATACTAAGAGTCTGTGCTGCATAGAATCTGTCTTGATAAACAAATGCAGGTAAAACAATTAATAAAGTACAAGGCATGTATTATGCCTCATTAAACATTAGCTATTACAGTAATTATTACTTTTTTATTTAGAAGTAATGACCCAGAACACACACCCTTTCATTGGGTTAGTAGTGAACAACAACAAAAAAAGTGTTTGCCAAGAAAATGTAAAGAGAAACATAAAGAAGCTTACAAAAGAATGATTACAGAAAATAGAACCTTAGCAATATGAATCTTCACCTGAAATAGGAAATGAAAAAGCTCAATTCTGAATGTGTCTCTTTGAAGAACCTTCAGATTGTTCCAGTTGTAAAATTTGTATAGGAAAATGAAAGCACAGCGTATCCTACTCGTTTGAACAAATATTCCTTTCCTCTGAAGCTGTACATTTGAAAGTCTTCATATCAAGAAACATGTTACAATTAAGCAGGAGCAATTACCACCCATTTAATTTGACCTAATATACTGCAATGAGAACATTTTAAAACAAATCTCTGGTGTAAATTAAAAATTAAGATCAGTCCTAGTTAGTTAAAAGAAATAATAAGCTTTGTATTCAGTGTTTTAGGGGGAACAGAGCAAACATAGATGTGAAAATTTCACTGTACATGTATTAGAGTTTTGAGTAAAAGATTATATTTCCAAATTATCATTGCAAAGACATTCAGCTAATCACTACACACAGTTTTATAATTGCACGGGACTACTACAGTGTATCTCTCTTTTCTGCAAATATTTATTTGTCACTGTAAAAAAGTAATGGCTTGGGAGCTGAATTTTAAGAATAGTAAATGTATCTTTTATTTCCAATGAATCCTGGTACCAGAAATAAAATAAACTTTAAAAGAAACACAACATTGTCTCTTTTTGTCCAATAAATGTACAATGATATCCAGAGCTTTAACCCTAAAATGGACCAGACTTTATTAAATTGGAACTTTTTGTTTAATTTTTCTAACTAGGTCTTGGAATTACTAATGGCAGTGCCAAACTTTAGAAAACTAATCTTTTATATCTCATGATAGATTCTCTAGGAATGCAACCCATAGTCATGGACTTGGGTCTGTAATTCACATATTATTTTCTTTTTTAAAACAAAATTCATATACATATAATTCCATGTTCTAATGCAATGGGTCTCACCTTCTGATTAATAGATATTCTCACAGAGTAATGGTCCTTCTGACCCCCTACTCTAGCTCTTCCTTTACAACTTCTCATTTAAAAAAGAAAAAAATAAATTTTCCAACTTGCTTCTTAAACTAACAGAAATTACCATGGCTCTATTTTCTAATCATTTGTTTGTATCTTCTCAAAAAATAGACTCAAGTGGAAAATACACATTAAAAACACACAACATCTCCATTTGGAAGATGTCATTTGCCCCTGAAACCTCAGAGGGAAACTTTACTTGTAGCCTATTTAAAATTCAAAACTTTTGCTGTTTGCCTTTTAAAGCAGCTCACAAATAAAAAATAGACTCATGTAACACTAGTTTGCCACTTACAAAAACTGTAAATTCTAATATTACCTTGTAAATGGCAACTGATCTCATTTCAGTTGGAGAAACCAAGGCATTAAAAATTTGAGTGACTAACAAGAAGTGAAAGCAAGATTTATTTCTTCATGGTAACCATATGGATGATTCTAGACCCCCTTTTCTCATTAATAAGTAAGGAGATAGTATGTAAACGCAATCTAAATTAGAAACTAGTGTTTCATTTTAAAATTCACTTATTTTCTTATGTTAACAAGGTACTACCCAATAATGTAAGAATTAGTTGCTAATTTCACGTGTCTAATAAAAGAATTAGAAAGATGAACCCAAGATAAATTGAGTTGAATGGAAAGCAATTGATGATACATAGTTAAGACATTTAAAATCAGTCAGGAGAGTGAAGATTTAGAAAACCAAGCCAACCTAAACGTAGTGTGTAACTAATGTAATAACCTCATGCAGAATTCACCAAAAAGAATGTCCATTACTTTTTGAAAAATGCCATTTTTCTTAAATTTTTTATGATCCTAAATAATTATTAGACTATGGATCTTTTAAAAAGAAAATTGAGACTTGTGACAGGGCACCTGGGTGGTTCAGTCAGTTAAGCGTCTGACTCTTGATTCTGGCCCAGGTCATGATCTTAGGGTCGTGGAATCGAGCCCCACTTTGGCCTGGGTGCTCAGCAGGGAGTCTGCTTGAGATTCTCTCTCTCCCTCTCCCTCTGCCCCCCTTCCCTGTGTGTGAGCACACTTTCAAATAATAAAAAAAATAAATAAATCTTTTAAAAAAATTGAGATCTGTGAAATTGTTCTACAAACGTTCATTGCATTAAGCCTATATTTTATTATGTGCTTATATAATTCATACAGGAACATGTAACGCAATATATTATGTATAAGAAAAGATAATGATCGGATTTTATTACGATTATTGATGTCAATTTCTGGTAAAAGCAGTCTAAGAATTTTTTTTGAGTTTTGATTTAAACTCCAGGTAGTTAACATACAGTGTAATATTAGTTTCAGGTGTACAGTACAGTGATTCACTTCCATACATCACCTAGTGCTCATCACAACAAGTGTACTCCTTAATCCCCATCACTTATTTCACCCATCCCCCACCCACCTCCCTTCTGGTAACCAGCAGTTTGCTCTCTATAGTTAAGAGTCTGTTTCTTGGTTTGCCTCTCTTCCTCTCTCTTTTTTTCCTTTGCTCATTTGTTTTGTTTCTTAAATTCCACATGTGGTATTTGTCTTTCTCTGACTGACTTATTTCCCTTAGCATAATACTGTCTAGCTCCACCATGTCATTGCAAATGGAAAGATTTCATTCCTTTTTATGGCTGAGTTGTACTCCATTGTATATATATTCCATAACTTCTTTATCCATTCATCAGTCAATGGATACTTGGGCTTTTTCTATAATTCAGCTATTGTAGTCTAAGCATTTGAGAAATTCAAAGTCAATGCACTTTGGTTGTGATAAATAGAATTGTTGAATCAATATATTGTACACCTAAACTAATAAACACTGTATATTAACTATACTGGAATTAAAATAAAATAAAATGGATAAAAAAAAATAAATGCACTTGGGTGAAAGTCAAGGATGAACTTTAACATGGAAAGTATGCACGGGCAATATTATATTTCTCATATCAGTGTTGCATTCCATAAAAATAGCTAGATCAGGTTTCAAATGTAAATATTTCACACAAATATGTTTGCATAATTCTACTTTTATCCTATGAATATTAATATATATGGCATTTGTTTAAAGATGTTTATTTAAATTCAACTGCAACAAACATAATTCTTGGTCAAAAGTATCAAGAAATGAATTTCACATATTATACAGAGAAAAATAGTCCATGCTACAAAATTATAAACACCATATGAATATAACAAGATAAGCTTGCTTGAAAATTTTAAATTAGATTAAATGAGCTTGAAAGATATGGACTAAATGCTAACATATGGAATGTAAGATTTCCAAATGTTAATTTAGTTAACTTTCTTGTAGTAACTACACACACACATACTACTTTTATGTCTATTTTAGAAATAAAATAGTAAACTATAAGATATATATGAGTAGAACAAGGAGGACATCTTGAGGTCATTCTAGAAATGTACATTTTATTCTTAGGTCCCACACACAATTTATGATTTAAAAAATAGTCCTTTAAACTAAGTTAATATGTTCAGTATAAAATGTGTTTTTTCTTCAAATAAAAGGGTAAAGTTTCTCAAAAGCATTTAAATTCACTTAAAAGCATTCTCTCTCTCTCTCCCTTTCTGTTGCTGTCTGTCTCTCTCACACACACACACGCAAAAACTACAAAGATATTTTTTGCTGAATGATAGGTAAAAATTTAAAATATGCATAAATCTGTACAAATGTTTTAGTAAAACTGTCTTAAATATGTTTCTACAGTAGTAAAATAAAAGCTTCTCAAAAATTGGTCCAATGTACTTCATTAATCCACTGTGTATCTATTTTGTCCTCCTACTTCTAGAAAAATAGAAATAACACTTAATACAATGTTTTGAGTCCTGTGTATGTCTTTTCCTATGCACTTTGAGTTAAACCTGGACTCGGAGGACCATTGGCAGAATGTTCTGGCTCTTCAGGGCCACTTGTGACTTTAATACCTTCATCTTCTTTGTTTCCTTCATTGTCCTTATCCAGGGCACCAGGTGAACCAACACAATTAGCATCCTGGTTTGCTTTGTCCAATTCATTGTCAAATTCTATTTTATCTTCTTGATGGTTGCTTTTCTTTATTTGTCCATTCTGGGCAGGATAGGTGCTAGCGATGACATCATATAGGAATTGGTATTGTTCCTAGTAAAAGAAAGAAGCAAGAAAGCTTATGTAATTATTATAAAGAAAGTTTACATAATTATTTTTATGTCAGATGAAAATCAGCAAGAGCTAATCATGTACTTGGAAGTCTTGGATAACAGAATACTACTCTTTTTTTGTTTTTATAAAAAGAACATTTTAAATGGCTTAGTCCCCTTACAGTTCTAAAAGACTGACTGCAGGGTATTCCTCCAAGTTTACCTTGGAGCACACCAAACATGTTCATTTCCCTCACAGGCCACGTGGTGTCTCATTTCCATGCCTTGGCCCATGATGCCACTTTCTGGGCTTATCCTCTTGGTTGAATGCCTATGCATCATTCATCTAAGTATCAGAGCAGAAGTCACTTGTTTCCGGAAAGCCTATGCAGATCCCATAGTTAAATTCAGTGCCCTCATTCATGCTCTTTGTAAAATCTCTCTGTCATTTCAATCACTATATTGTTTAATAAATATCTGCCTTTTCCTCATACTAAACAGTGAGTCTCTTAATGGCAAGAGCACATAATAGGCACTCAGCACATTTTTTTTTAAATCAGTTATATGCAAGCTCAATGTCCTGCATAATTAAAAGCTGCATAGATCTGAGTGAGTAAGTTTATATGGTGACTAGTTATGAATTTCCAGACTACCCTCTACCATTGCAGAAGATCCATGTTGGATTGATTACAAAAATGCCACACTTACTACCCTCTGTGTATCCACACTTATTGGCAAGGTGACTGCTGACCCTTTCAACAAGAGGTGGAGTCAATTTCCCCACTCCTTGAAGCTGAGCTGGCCTTGTGACTTGTTTAGATAAGAAAATGCAGAGGAAGACAGATTGTGCCAGTTTCCAAGCCTGGGCCTCAAGAGGTCTCACATACTGCTGCCCCACTTCTCAGAATTCTGTTGCCTTTATGTGAATATGCCTGGGCTAGTCTTCCAGAGAAGGAGAGACCTGCATTCTACTCACCCTCTGTTGCCAGAGCTAAAGGCCAGCAACTGCCAATCTATTGGTAGTAGGGATCATTTTGGACAAGACAAACCCCAAGAGGCACATCAGCAGTGGCAAACCAATGAGCGAGCCTGGTCCAGATTGGCTGAAGCTGACATGATTGGCAGAACTATTTTGTTGCTCCAATAGACTATTGAACTATAACAAATGCTTTTTTTTTTTCTGCCACTCATTTTGGGGTGGTTTTTACAGGAGTAAAGATGGGGGAAATTAGGGAATTCATGATCATTTGAAGATACGTTCTTCATGAACCACAATAAATTGCTGGTAAGCTCTAGTTAGTTCTCTTATTTATATTAATAATAATCGAGGGGTGCCTGGGTGGCTCAGTCATTAGGCATCTGCCTTCAGCTCAGGTCATGATCTCAGGGTCCTGGGATTGAGCCCCACGTGGGGCTCCCTGCCCAGCAGGGAGTCTGCTTCTCCCTCTCCCACTGCCTGCCACTCCCCCCTGCTTGTGCTCTTTCTCAGATAAATAAAATCTTTAAAAAAATTAAAGTATCTTAATAATTTAATGTGAATTATCATGTAAAAAAGGAAGTTAGGAAAGGAAAATAGGTGAATAGAAGAAAAGGAGAGGATTGGAGAAGAGGGAGAAGGAAGGAAAGAGAGAGAAGAAACCATCAAAATAAAAATGCAAAACACATCAAAAGCAGCTGTGAGGTCTACGTACAAACGTGGGAACCATTCCTGGTCTAGCTCTGCGGAGAGATTTTACTACTTGAAAAACATCTATCACTTCTTCTGTTTCTGCACTTTCCAAGAGATTTAACAAAGCACAAAAGAGTCCTGTTTGCTGAGATCCATCTCTGTAAAAGGAAGAAAAGTTTTAGAAAGAAAATAATTCTACATTTTATGGAGAAAGTGATATTAGAGTAAAAACTGAGAGAGATGAAATGCATTCTTCATTTCATGTTTATTGTAATTATCTTATTCCAATCTCTAAAAGCAAAACATTTCTGCTAAATGCATTTTTTGGACAAACATTTTCACTTTGAGAATATAATAATCTTATAGTTTAAAAAAAATACTATCTCAGGCTTTAGACATATTTTTTTCTTCTGTTTAGTCCCTTATAGATTATAATGCATTTTTGTTTACATCCAAAGTTGTAAGGAAGTTGTTAGGACAAATATTGTAGGACATGGAGATTTAGGGAAGACAAAGACATGCCCAGAAATCAGTAAAACCAGAAATATTGTGGAAATTTTGTATGTTACTAGACCACATGCTTTCTATCCTTCTTTCTTCTGCCTCTCTAGTGCTTTTTTACAAATGTCCACATTTTTGCATCAGTAGAAAAATGATACCTGGTAGAATTATTCATTAAAAAGAGGACAACTCAACTTAACTGTAAAAGCATGTTACATTATAATAAAGATTCAATTTACAGAATATGTTATTAGCAGGATTTTATTTATTGTACATAACTAAAGGACATATAATAGGTATTCAGCCATATCTTAAGAAACATATATAGTTTTAAAGCTTAACCTTGCCTTCTTTAGCTTTCTTTCTGCATAAATTTCACCTTTGAAAACTCTAATAAAGACTGGAAAGTCGTGCATCTCTAAGGACTTCATACTAGTGTATGCAATTCTAATAATAATAAGAAAGCTTTCTTGAAAATTCTAAAAGCATCTCACTAAATTTACATTTCTCATTTTCCTTTATATTTTTATTTTGCATTTACTTTAGTATGTTTTATGTAAATATTTTATATTATGCATCCTTCTTTCAATATCTCTTATTTAAGGTAGATATGTAGGCATTTCTCACAGATGAAAGTCAAGGGTCTACATAACAAATTAATAAAGTAAAAAATTATTATATATATTAAAGTCTTTTCCGTTAATATATAACTTAAGATATGTTTACCAAAGGCAAAGCATTCCTTCCTCTGGATTCTCTTAACACCTAATAGAGTGTATCAATGCATATAAGCATAAATAAAATGTGATATCCATCCACCTGTCTGTTCATGCATCCTGCCATTCATTCATTAATTCATCCGGGACATATGACATTCTAGATTCAATGTTAGGCACTGGGAGTCAAAGATGATGTGACACTGGTATTAAGAAACTTATAGACTAAAACTATTGCACTATAATATAATCATTGCTATCATATTTCTATAATAGTTATAGAAATTGCTCTATATATGGGAGCAAACCTGAGAGAGTGACTGATTCCACAAGAGGCTTTTGCTGTGGTCATGCATTTTATCTATCAGGATAAATAGAATTAGAATTAGAATTAATAAGAATTAAAAATTAAGGGACGCCTGGGTGGCTCAGTCGTTAAGCGTCTGCCTTCGGCTCAGGTCATGATCCCAGGGTCCTGAGATCGAGTCCCACATCGGGCTCCTTGCTCAGTGAGGAGCCTGCTTCTCCCTCTCCCTCTACTGCTCCCCCTGCTTGTGCTCTCTCTCTCTCTCTGACAAATAAATAAATAAAAATCTTAAAAAAATTAAAAAACGAATTAAAAATTAAAACAGAATTTAACAGGAAGTATAAACCATGAAGTCAAGCATTATGATGATTTTTAGAGAATATTTTATCAAATCCCACCCACCTGCAGTGAATGAGAAGAGGCGCATTCTTGTGATGCTTATTCCCTTCAGTGGAATTCTTGGGAAGTTTTTCTTTGAGAGTCTGAATCATAGAGATTAATTCTTTGGGTTCTGCAGGAAGCTCACCCACATTCCAGTTATTATATTGGTACTGGTACACAGTCCGAGAATCTTTCCTCTAAAACCAGAAAAGAAGGGAACATTAATTCAAGTAAGGTTCAGTCCATTTAATAGTTTGATAGTCACACTTTCTTCACAATTACTTTCATTTAACTCCTCTTAAAGTTTTATTCTGAAAATATTAATAGATTTTGCTTTACTTTTATAGAGTAATTTATATTAGTTTTTCTACCAGATCAGTTACCAGAACAAAAATACATACTCCTGAAATTATTTACATACCTTGGAATGTCTCAGTTCAAATACACGGAGGGTATAAGCTGAAGATTGTTGGGTGTCTTTCATATCAACTTGTACATCTCCATATGTTTGTTTTTCTTCTTCCCAGTACTGAGCACAGGCTTCCTAGATAAGAAAGAACATGATTCAACAACTTCCACACAAGTGTTCTGTTTGTTTTTTAACATATTCAGGACCCTCTTACTGTCTCTTTCTCTTTTCTCTCTCTTACCCACCATTCTATTAAACTGAAATTACTAACTGTGTCCTAAAACAGAAAGCCACCCATAAAACTCCAAAATCTATCTTAAGTATGGTGGACATCCATTCCACAATACCTGGTGTTTCCTTGTGCAAATCAAGGGAACTGAGAAATAACCAAAGTGGCCAGGACACCACAGGAATGGCTCTGTCACCTCTAGTGTAGGTCTTTGAGATTTGTTTCTTCCTTCCATATCCTTATTATCATCACCTCTTCAAAATTTATAGATTGAGCTGATATTGATCATGACCCCTGTAATAACAAGTTTCACTGTCTCTCCAGCGGTCCTTGAGGAAGGAGACTTCATCTTTTGGAGTTTTGTCTCTGTATTTTGATGACCAAAACCATGAGCAGCTCTATGTAAGTTGACTGCATATCTAAGTAAAGGGTCAGATTGAAGAGGAGGTGGATCACAAAGTGTGTTCTCTCTCTGCACCAACTACAGTTATAATTGCTGACAATGATAGGCATTCGTGCCTAAACTAACATTTCAGTTCCTGGCTTTCACAATTTAGATGAAAGAAAAGATTGCTAGGAATTCCATGCTGGAAATCTGAACATGTTATTTCATTTTTAAAAAAGAAAAAAAAAAACATAAAATAAAACATGTCCTATGTCCAGGGGTAGGGGACCAAAAAAATGACAGAGAGAAAGAGAAGGCATATAGTTGCATGCTTATGAGAATATTCATTAGATAAGCTTTAACATATGCCAGATAATGTGTGAGGTGCTAAAACTAAGTAAAATCTAATACTAGTGAGATTTTGATAACTCAAGGTGTTAAGGAAAAGATCAAATACACGTCACGGGCATTAAGCAGGTCAAATTAGATCTTAGGTTCACCTCCAACTATAGAATTTTATAATAATAAATATTACATGAACGTAAAGAAGGCAGGATTTAGATAAATTTTTCAAGAGTTCCATCTAACTAGAAGAAAAGGATCAAAATGGAAATAGAGGACACATTTATATATGGGGAATGCCAGTAAATTAAATCTCAGTGATGAAAATGCAAATGGTGTGTCAAGATTCAGTCAAGAAACCTACTTGTCCAGAATAGAAATTATGATATATGAGGGTCTGGTTATTGAGGGTCTTAAATATCACACTGAGGAGTTTGGTCTATTGCTTGTTGTTTGTAGCAAGCCGTGACACTGGGATTGCTGTGCATGAGATGATCTGCAGACGGTGTATAGGACTGGAGAAGGGTAGCGTGAGAGACTGTCAGAACCTGGACATAAGATGCTAAAGGCCAACACTTGGATGGAACAGGGTAAGAATGAACAAAGGCAACTTTGTGACAGAAGGGTCAAAAATCCTAGGGTAGAGTAATCAAGCAAGTAATCCAAGAATGGAGAATGATATTTTATGACAGAAAGATAAAAAAAATTTATTCTTTTTTGTTGTTGTTGTTGTTAAGACCTTGGTGTATTTTCTTCTCTCTCTCTTTTTTTTTTTTTAATTATGTTAAAAGTACAAACCTGGTCTCTATTCTTCAGCTGTGTCAACATAACAATAACTTTGACTTTTCTTTGGAATATCATCTGCCAAAAGTCACCAATGGTCTCTTTTAGTGGTCCCTGAGCAGCAATCATCACTTCAGGTTTCCAGTAACTCTTTAAAAAGAGAGAGAGAGAGAGATTCTGTTACTCTCGCTCACTGATGAAAGACCAATGGATTCTTAAAATAACCATTTGGAAATATTGTCACTTAATTTGATATCAATGCTGCTACATAAAAATATTAAGATCCTTAGACCCAAAACAATGTGATATCTATATGTAAAACACTTATTTAATGATAATACTTAGGTAATAGTGTGAAATCAAGTTTAGAACATACTATCTTAACAAAACTAACAAGTTTTTCTTTCCAAAACTAAGAAAAAGTACATGTGGTTGTAAAAAGAAAATACGTAAGCATTTCAGATTATTTTCATCATGTTTCTACTTTAATTGATGTCTACACAGTCTTATGATAACTCAGAAGTAAACTAATATTCTATGAGTATGTTTTAGAAAAATTTGGAAAATAAATCCAACTTAGTGTATATGCAAAAAGTATTTACTGAATGACTATAGTTCCTTGTTAGAATTCTCCGTTTACTGAAAAAAAAAAAGTTATGTGACACAGACTCATTTAATCATTCAGATAATCTGAATGAAATTTTTTAGCTATGCAAATATGCAAATTCTTATTTGCCTACAATTTGGGTATCTGAGTAAGTACAAATGTTTTCAAATACTTGTATTTGCTCAAATTGTATTATTTTTCAAATTCATATGAAGAGTCCTACTGGTCATAAATTGTAACTAATAAACATTGTCTCATTTTGTATCAACACATTAGACTTTAGTATCTTTAAGTCTTTCAATAAGTTAAAATATAGTATTAAAAATTGAAATTTTGGGTCAATTAATATATATATATATGGTTATGGCCAAGCGCATCATTTCTTTATAAAATCATTTAATGAATGGCCATAAAAATACAGATTTTTTTTATAATGTCTTCTAAAACACATTTTTTGAAGGGTTAGATCCTGGGCTTTGGAAATGTGAGTACCTACCATTATAAAAGATGCATTGATGTATCTACTTGTTTCCTCTGAGTCACTGTCATCATCAGAAGATTCATCTGAATCATGCTCACTCTCTTTGCTCATCTCCAGTTCATGTTTAAGTGACACTCTGTTAAAGTCATCTATGTAAAACAAATTAGTAGTAAGTCTTTCTTTAAAAAATCAAATCTCCACTTGATTGTCATGTAGAAATTAGAGAAGTGACAGATTGCATTATGTAAATTTACTGATGTACATGAAATGAGACACTACATAAAATTCAGTTCATATTGATCAACAAATTATAAAAAAGAAATCTAAGAGAAAGAAGCTTTCAAAAAAGTACCAAGAAAAAAATGGTATATAACACCATAGATATACAAATAGATATAATATTCCATATAATCATTCAATCTTTGACACATATACTTTAGTTTTCCATGGAAAAGCATCATTCTGCTAGAGATGTTTAAAAATACATATGTAAGTGTGAAAAAGTACATAGCTTTGGTAAAAACCTAATTTCTTAATTATATCCTGTTAACATCAACTTAACAATCTTAATTAAATAGGTATCTCAGGTGATTATTATTCAATCAAGAAAATTATTTAGTCCATAATTTCTCACTGTTTCTCAGTTTCTTTAATCTATAATATCCTGATCAAATGATCTGTGATCTGATTAGCTACATCATCCTCAATTCCAGATTTTGAACTAATATTTATAAGGACTTCAGAAATTAACTAGGTCAACCATACATCAATATGATTTATTTGGTTGTCTAGCTAATAGTGTGAAATCAAGTTTAGAACATACAATCTTAACAAAACTAACAAGTTTTGCAAATGCATAACAACAAATGAATAAAATGAAAGTTGTACCAGACATGATCCTACAAAATTCTTAAATAACAGTATTCAAGTATTAAAACTACATATGTTGATCTGTTAAGTTTGATGATTAACAGTTTATAGGGTATTTTTTACCTACTGTCAATCTCTCAGATAGGAAGAAGGGATAAAGAGAAAACAGAAAGAAAAAAAGGAAGTAATGGTTGTTATTGGCAATTACCCTGAAGCAAATAAATGAAATAAACTAAAGATGAGAGAAAACTAGTAAAGTGGACTTGGCCTTTTTTCTCCCAGCTTCAGAGGTTATGTGTTTCTGACAGTCATTTCTGACATAATTGATAGAAAAAAAAGACTGAATACAGTCTATCCTCCAAAGCCCACTGTGAATGTTTGGGGTGCAAAGTATTTGCTATAATTAAATTTAAATAGCCCATTAGCTATTCTCTACTGTCAACCCAATGTTGAAAACTTGCTTCAAAATCATTTGTGTGTGTGCATCCAAAAAAAGAGTTTAATTTTATCTGATGCCAAAGAATAACATAAAATGAGCTACATACATGGAATGATGTAAGAATTCCTGTTTTTATTTTTATTTTGTTCTTGATTTCCAGCGTGCTGTGTCCTCCAGCTCCTATACGAGGGAAGTCTCTGAGGGTGAAAAAATAAAATGGAACACTGCTTTTAAAATGCAAGTTGTGATTTTGTTTATTATTGTGGCAAAAGATGTTCCCTAAAGAAAAGTATTACATCAAGTTTTGTGAAATGTGCATACTTTGCCTATAGTCCATAATTTTTAAGTTTGCCTCGGAATTTTTCCTTTTAATTTTTCAGGCATTTAATATTTTTGACATGGCGAGTTTGAACTCAGGATATACAATTATATAACAAAATAGGTTTCCTACTTAAGAGCGGCTGGAGAGCAAAATAGCATGGTTTGTTCTTGTATAAGTTGAGGCACTGTATCCATGTTGATGATTATCCATATTGCAAAAGGCAGTGGTACATTACTTGAAATGATCAGTAATAAACTCTCCAAATACAGCCTTCACAGAAGACTTCGCTCGTGCTTTGAACAACTGATACCTCATTTGCTTACACCTTCCCTACTGCTTTCCCTCCCATTCACAGTAGCTGATCAGTCAGCAAGACCTATCATTTCTTCTGGGGAAGCTCTCAAACACTTTTGCATTTCTCTCTTTCTACTTAGTACAGTCCACTTTGATTTCTCACTTGAAAACATCAACAGTTTCTTAACTGTCCTGTTTATCTTCAATCTCACTTGCTCTAATCCTCTTAAAAACACGAAACAGAGTCCCACTGAGGCTCCTCAGCAGTTTGCCATCATTGGGAAGAAGCATCCCACTGTACAAAAAACCTTCAGGGATGCACTCTTGATTGTCTGTCCAGCCTCACCCTTTGATGGTCCCCTTCCACTTCAGCCATCCAACTTCCTCAACTCTGGGAAGGAGCCGAGTTGTCCTTTAACTCTTGTGAGTTTTATGCTTGGACTACCCTTTTCCCTTGTCACTCTGCTAATTTCTACTTGCTTTTTAACTATCAGTTTAAATGTCATTTATTCTGGAAGATCTCTCTGCCTGCAACTCTTTCTTCCCATTGGTCCTTAAATAAATATTTGTCAAGTGGATGAATAATCTAAACCGAAAGAGCTCATCATATATAGTTCAGTAGGATTTTATACACACACAAATATATGTGCATGGGATGTATGTGTGTGTATATATATGTATATATTTTAATATGGTGCACTCTTTCAAACTAAATATGGCACCCCGTTTCAAACCCCATGCATTGCTGTGTAACTGAATGAATGGAAACCTCATCATCGAATACTAGGCCACTTGAACTCACTTTAATGAACAGCATGGAGGCTGATGCCTTGGAAAACATCACACTTTTTGCTTGTCAGAATGGTCACCCAGTGTCCCCTGCCCTCTAGCCAATACCCAGTATTATAGATAAAGCTAATGGATTACTCTCATTTAAGACAGGAAGGGTTTTTCACACTTCAGTCCTTGCTACAAGTCTCAACCTCCCAGTGCATCCATATTGGCTAGAGCTCTATTACTAAATAATTATCTAAATAGTCATCATCAAATACAACTCAGTCTCTTACATCTCACCTATCAATGTCTTCCTCTCTGCTCTCTGGTACTCAGGGTCTGACATCAGTAAACTGCCATCCACCTTAATGCTTTTCTCCCAACAATTCCTTCATTTTTTTGGTTGAGGAAGGGGGAGGGGGTGGTACACCAGGTGAAACCTGAGGGTCTCTTGAGAACATCACCAAAAACTCAGCAGTAGTTCTTTTTTAGAAAACTGAATTCCCCACTCATACCCCATATACATCACAGCTTGTCATACCCCATATACATCACAGCTTGAAGGAAAGATATGTACTGTCTTCGCTCCCTGTTTCTGCTTGTAAACTGGTTCTACTCATTTCTCCTTCAAAAAGCCCAGTTACTTTTATTTTCCTGACACCATGTCATATTTCTCTGACCTTTGTTAGAGGGTTCAGGTACTGATTACTGGATCACTCCACCCCGTTTAACTTTGGAATTGCCTAATTTTTCTCCCTAGGTCTGTCATAATTCTTGGCTACTTCAACATTGACAAGGATGATCTATGCAACACTCTAGTCTCTTCTTAACTTCCTTACCTCCTGTGCCCTTTCCCTTTACTCTTCCGCCATCCACTTTCTCCATTCTACCTTTGTAAGTTTCCTTTCAGACATTCGTTTAAAAATTACAATTTCAGCCATCTCATTATTGAAAATTACCTCTTTTCTTCCTCGTTCTTTATTCTAGTATCTTCAGTCTAGCCATGTGCAATTCTATCAAAACCCTCCACATACCATCCTTACTACTTTCCTTATGTGCCGCATGTCCTTCTGTGGCCAATTTGCTCTTTATCATCCACCACTATATCATACATTTGCAAACACCCACAATTCCTTTTTCTCCAACTTTCAAATAGTCACTTTAAGAAATCCTAGATGAGTTTAACCCAACCATCTGTATACACAGCCCCTATTTTCAATGTTTCTATATAAAACAATAAAACCAACTGACTCTCTTTAAATTCATGACCATAGATTTCAAATGATCCAACAACAATTTCCAGCAATCTACTACCTTTGCCTAGGGAGATTGCTTTGCTACTTTGGTATAACTGTTTCATCTACTTTCCCCTTCCTCAAGCATTAGTACTTCTTTGCCCTACTCCCTCCTGTCCCCCTAAACTTTTTAACTGATGATCTTGCTTCATACCGTCTTTAGAAAGAAAAGGCAATTGACAAGAACTGTCTCAACTTCTTATCACCAAATCTACCAAGTAACCTACATCTTCCCTCTCATTTCTCATTTTCTGTCTTCCTTTATGCTTAAATGGAATAATTTCACTGTTTCTATCAGTTATAGTCACTACCTGTGACCTTGGTTACACTCTCTCACCATGTCCACCTGCAAATCACTTTGGCTCTTGTGCCCAAAACTGTACTCGACACAGAGCAAACACCTAATCCTATTTGTTAAGTGACAGAATTTACTCTTTCTTTTAGTGACTTTACATACAAATGTTTAAATTACATTTATAAGTGTTTTCTTATAAATGTAATGTATATATGTATATGCGGTTTAGCAAGATTAGTGTACTGAAATGTCGTTGATTTGTCAGCTAAAAGAGCAAGAAAACAGCAACTAAACATCCTCCTACTCAAGACTACTCTGGTAGCCTGCTGGCTCTTCCACTATAATCTTCTGGGGGATTGTGTTACCTGGTAATTACTGTATGCTCCACCCCCCTTCCATCCTCCCTTTGAACCAAAACATTAAACAATTCTGCATTTGATTAAAAACATGTTCCTTGTTTTGTGAAACTCTCCAATTTGACCAGTTTGGTAGTTTACAGAAAGTTTCAGTAAACTGGAAAATTGTAAGAGAAAAGTTACAAAAATTTTTTTTTTTTTTTTGGACAACTGAGCAATTTGGAGATAGCTTTGAGAATTCTCTGAATGAGTGAACTACATCCTGGGCTAGCTTTCAGAGTAATGGCCCAATGAATAGGTTAGGACACATGTATTTATCCTTTAGTTTCTGTCTACCAGCTCCAGCTAGTTAAACTTCCTAAGTAGTCATAAACTCCTCTAATTATTTCCTTTACAAACCAAAACCAGATGTAGTTTTAAAAGGTGAGATGCTACATTGCCTTTGGCGGACCAATTTTGTGGGTATATACTATTATTTTGACACTTTATTTTATACCAGCTTAATGAGAAATGGTTAAGTGTGGGCTGTAGACACAATTCTAGTCTCTAGACACATGAAACAAGTCTCCTACATAACAGCTTTGCGCTTTCAGGCATTTCTCTTAAATTCTCTGTGTCTTAGTTTCCTCATCTGTGCTCCATTGGTTATGGTAAGGCCCAAATTCAAGAACCATGTCAAACATATAGTGCAGCACTAGAAAATAGCCCTCAATGAAAGTTATCCATAATTATCATTATCACTATTGTTCTCACTATTATTACCTGGAATTCAGCCTCTAGTGGAGATGGCTCGCTGGGTGGATCTCTTTTCTTCATGTTAAATAGATATGAGTGTAATTCAGACAAACTCACTTCTGTTTCCCCAAATTGATTGTATTCCACCAAGGCCTGATGGATCAAGATATACTGTGCCTACAATTCCAAAGAAAAATATGGATAATTAACTAATAACTTACAGTCCTATAAATCACATTTAAAAAAATTATGCATCTCCATAATTTTGCTCATATTGGGACAACATATGCAAAAGAAAACGGATACCTATAACATTTGAGTATTATGGAATTTGGCTCTCACAGTTCTCTGGAATGTGAGCAAATTCCATACCAGATTTTTTTTCCAGGAAAAAATAGCTTGCTAAATAGATTAAATATCTACTATATAGTGTATAACTTCTATTTTATTTTTAAAAATTAGAAAAGCATTGCCTGTTACTTCCTTCAGTGACTATTATTGATCCACCAAGTCAAATGACTAATACATAAAACTATAATAAATTTCACACTGTATCTAAGGAAAAGAATGCAAGTTGATATTCCATAGAACACATTTTTTTAATTTTATGTTATTATGTTATGTTAATCACCATACATTACATCATTAGTTTTTGATGTAGTGTTCCATGATCCATTGTTTGCATATAACACCCAGTGCTCCATTCAATACGTGCCCTCTTTAATACCCATCACCAGGTTAACCGCCCCCACTCCTCTCCCCTCTAGAACCCTTAGTTTGATTCTCATAGTCCATAGTCTCTCATGGCCATAGAACACATTTTTAAAAAGGGTTTTCTAGAACTTTAAAACAGAGGAATTTATCAAAAAAACCACACTATGCCAAATCTACATTTAACAACTCCTAACTTTTTATCATATTTGAATCCACTATTTTTAAATAAATGACACATTTCTGATAAAGGTCAAGCCTCTTTAACCACTAACTCCAGTTCCCTGACTTTGAGTGTATCCTTTTACCCCATTTACTTTTTCCACAGGAAATAATTTTTCTTTTTCTTTTTCCTGGTTGACAATCTGTTTTTATACTTCTGCACTAATATTTATGTATCTATAAACATTGTACATTTTTGTATGCTTCTTTAAAATTCTATAAATTGTATCTTATATGTTTCATTCAGTGATTTTATTCACTCATGGTATTCATCTGAGCATCTATAGATAGATACAGACCAAGAGTATTCCTTTCAACTGCATAGCATGCATTGTAGGGCTTCCAAATGTCTACATTTTGTTTGCCCTTTCTCCCATAGATATGAATAAAGTATTTCCTTTCTTTCTTTCTTTCTTTTTTTTTTTGCTATTCTATCGATGCTGAATTCAATGAACATTCTTGCACATGTTTCTAGTTGTGCATCATTTGCAAGTGCTTCTCTTGAGTATAAACATACACATAGAATTGCTGGGTCAAGTGCAGAATATTTCAATAATAACCATCACTTACAACTACCAGCTACATACATGTGCCAGGGACTTGCCTACATACTTTCCTTGGATTACCTTTTCATCAAAACTCTGTAGGATAAACATATCATTATCTCCATTTTACAGATGACTTAACTGAGGCACAGAAACATTAAAAACTTGTGAAAGGATGCACAGCGTTAAGAATTAAAGGCAAGATATGAACTTTGGAAGTCTAGTTCTAAAATCCGGGCTCTTAATCACTATACTATCCTGCCTCCCTGTTTTTAATTTTATGAAATTCTGCCAAATTTGTTTTCAGTGTTTTTATTTATTTATTTTTCCTTTCTGACACCTGTAAATGGTATTTTATTATTTATTTGTGTGTTTGTTTGTTTATATACTTTAGAATCACCCTTCTTCTACAGTACTTTTAGCCACTAACGCAAGATGCTTCTAACTATGATTGGTGCTTATCAATTGATTTAGTTTTCAGGAAATTAAAAGAAAACTATTTTCACCCACTGTTTAAAGTGTGACATCATTAGTCTTTGATGTAGTGTTCCATGGTTCATTGTTTGCGTATAACACCCAGTGCTCCATTTAATACATGCCCTCTTTAATACCCATCACCAGGATTTCTTTTAAGGTCACTATTCCCCCACAAAAAGATTTCAGTCTAAAAGCAAAAGGGAGAACAGGGATTGAAGGTTAGCACATATCTCCATACCTCCACTTGAACCATCAGGCATCTCTGTCGCCTTAGCTTGACAACATAACCATAAACATCTACTTTGTTTTCTGCTTCCAGGCCTTCTAGCATGGCATCAATTCCAATATAAGTGCCTGTGCGTCCAACACCAGCACTGACAAAACAAACAAACAAACAAAGTGAAGGCATGATCGTGGCAGGGAAATGAGTGGAAAAGCTGACAGGGTGAAGCAGAGGAAGGAATAGAAGTTTCTCCTCACAGATTGTTTTCCAAAACAGCAATTGCCAAAGGGAAGGATGTCCCTAACCACCTCAAGGCAAGGATTGGAATAGCCCTGGCGCCTGCTGTGGGGCTTCATTTACCTGCAGTGTACCACAATGGGGCCGCTGAAGAAGTTGCTGAAAGCATTCACTCTCCTCCGAAGCTTGAGAAGCAGGTGAGGGTCTTCAGGCACCCCATGGTCTGGCCAGCTGGTGAACTGAATGTGAGTCACCTCTCTTCCGGTGGCTTTCTCTTTTTTCTAGGCAAGAGATAATATTTTCTTTGAGATTTTTTTTACAAAGCAAACTACCTGACAAATAAGTGGAAGGGGGGACCAGTACCAAAAACTCCTCATGCAAGTTTTTCAGCCATGATAACATTTTCCTTTCCAATGAATAACCAGTAGTTGAGATGTCATGCAAAGTTGGCATGCACTGACCAGTAAGCAATAACTTACCAGTGAGGTAAGTAAGGTATGGTAAGTTAGCTGAGGCTGCTAGGAACTTTCATGCTGCCATGCCAAAAACAAACAACAAACACACACACCAAAAAAATGGGGGTGTTGGTGGGTGGAAAAAGATATAAAGCAAAGGCCATTCTAACAGCTGTTTGAAATATTTCTGCTTGGTAGGCCAGGACATTTTCTTCATGTGAAGAAAGTCTGATAAATTATTCGGTTAATGCTCTATTTCTTAGGCCGTATTATATTAGAAATGTCAGGGAGGGAGACAACTGGGGAAAGTCAGCCCCAGACTACAGCTCACATTTGTCCCAATTTCAAGGTAACTACTACAAAATGAGTAATTCATACTTCTCTGAGCTGGTATGAAGAAGAAACCCCTACATTTACATAGCAGAAGAAACAACAAAACTTGGTTGGTTGTAATTTTCTGACAGGAAATAATTATATTAAATAAGAATAATAATGAGACCAATCAATATAACCAGATCTACATATGATCTATATATATAGACTGGGGGTCTCATGCCTAAGTCCATCATGTATTTTAGCATCAACTATTGATTGGGACCAATTGTCCCACAGCCCTCTGTGGGCACAGTAGTTAGTAATGCCACAGAAGCCTTAGAAGTCCTTGGAAGAAACACACAATTGTTGGGAGTTATTTTTTGCATCTTTAACCTGTTTTAAGATATATTCACATACCATAAAATTCATTCATTTAAATGATGAAATGTTTTATTGTATTCCCAGAGTTGTAAAATCCTCACCACTATCTAATTACAGGACATTTTCATTACCCCCCAAAAGAAACCCTTACTGATTAGCAGTCATCCGTCCTCCTGCTTCACTTCCCAGCAATCCTAATCAATGTTCTGTCTCCATAAATTTGCCTATTCTGGACTTTTCATAAAAATGGAATACTAGGGGTTACCTGGGTGGCTCAGCCAGTTAAGTGCCTGACTCTTGACCTCAGCTCAGGTCTTGATCTCAGGGTTGTGAGTTCAAGTCCCACATAGGGCTCCATGCTTAGCATGGAGCCTACTTAAAAAAAAATTTTTTTAAAAAAGTAAATAATAACAAAAAATGGAATCCTATAACATGTGTGAGGACCTCCATTTTAACTATTATCTAAGGCCACACTGACAGTTTTCTTTTCCAAACTAAACATTTCATCTTTACTACATAATTAGAATTTTGTATTTCTTACAGTACTCTCTAATTGTGCCATTTGTTTTTTGTTTTTGGTTTTGGCAAAAAAGTTAGGTTTATTAAAGCATCGGGACAGGACTTGTGGGCAGAAAGAGTGCTCTAATTGTGCAGTTTGTATAAGTATTCTTTCCATAATAGTAACAGGCCCATGGAGAAAAGGGCCAGTTTATCATTCATTCAATAATTCAACCATTTATTATATATATATAATATATATATATATTTTTTTTAAGAGGGAGACTGGGGTGTGGGGAAGAGGAAGTGAGAATCTTAAGCAGGCTCCATGCCTGGCATGGAGCCCAATGCGGGGCACGATCCCATGACCCTGAGATCATGACCTGAGCCAAAATCAAGAGTTGAACACTTAATCGACTAAGCCACTCAGGTGCCCCTACAGATACTTTTGATATGACTTGGACAAATACTACTTTCACCAGTGATTTAACTTGACCCTGTTGGCTTGTGTTATTGTTCTAAGGTAACCCTTTCTCATGTAGGTTGTTAAAAATATGTTTTCTTAGATATAGTATAATTTCTTACATTTAATTTCATTCCATAATTGTATTTTTAGACAACTCATATAAAAATAAAAATTAGGTAATAAAACAAACTCACATTTGTAATGTTCAACTTCTGAATGATATAATCTGGACATCTTTTGTGTTCAGTGATCTCTACAATGACATCTCCAAAAGCCCGTGTACCTTCTTCCATTGATGGCCAGTATTCTGCACACTTGTTCTGTATTTTAAAAAAATATTAATAATTTTGGTTTTTCATTAAAACAAATTTGTTTTTGGAGATTCTTTAAAAAACAAAACAAGCAAAAATTATTTATCTGAAATTCTCAAAATATTTGTGTATTCTCCTTTAAGCACAAATACACCCTAAGCTGTGATGCCTGAAATGTATTCCATTTCCCATTAACGTGTCCTGAAAGATTTCTTCATACTACCTAGCAGAAGCATGATCTTCCCAGGCTCAGCTGCATATTAAAAGGGGATGTGCTCAGTTGTCAGCAGAAACGATGTGGTTGCATGCGGTTAATTTCAGGCTGGAGGATAGGGAGGCTTTCCCGCTTCCTAAAGTCCTATTACATAAATTACCACCTATCTGCCCAAGAACAGCTTTGTTTTAAGTATTCACAAGTACTTGTGAAATCAGCACACTGAAATATGCTAGACTTATAACAATACTGCAAAGAAATGGGAATCAAATGTAAGTCCAGCAATTAAGCAGAAACACTTAAACTTTATTCATATATATATATAGGTATGTACATATTTTGTTTTTCTACATGTATGAAAAGTTTAAGTGTTATATTGATTAAAATAGAAAACTGTCTGTTTTTGTCATCAAGTACATTTAAGTGGGGTTTTTTTTTGAAATGCGATTCAACACTCTCTTTTCCTAACCTCAATCTTCACACTATGACTCTTACCCTGTTTCCTTCTTCACATCGAGTGACCATGACAATGACCGTGGCTTTCTGTTCCCAGATCATCCTCCAGAAATCATCAACAGTTTCATCTCTGGGACCTAGGAGGTAAATAAATGCCAACTGATAAATATCTTCTTAAAAGTGCTATGAAACAATTTTCAAAAAGAATGTTAGACTATCAGATAAATTACCTTGTGCAGCAATGTATTTCCTGGGTTCTTTGAAGCCCTGTTCAAAACACACACAAAGGTATATCATTTATTGAACACTCAATTATTCATTTACATGCAAAATTGTGAGTTAAAGGAAGTTGATTTAGATCCACCATTTCTTGGTTGCAGATTTCTCTGAACATTTTCAAATTTTAAGGGGGATTTTATTAACACATGGTCACCCACTGAACTGTGCCAAACATATTAGCATTTACAAACAATATCCATGGCTTTCATGTGTCTTTGCTATATACCCAAAACAATTTTAGAAACTAGATTTCATCCTCATCTGGGACGGTGCAGCAATTTACAAAAGTAATCCAGACATTCTTATATTTTATGTCCTGCCAACCTTACAACACCATCTGTGATAATTTAAACCGTCGTACAAGCCACAGAGTTGCTTTTGGGATTTTTCCTCAATTTCTTTCAATAAATCATTCTGAGATGATCTGCACACTTCTACCATTTAACTAGTGCTGGGATAGACTGTGGATTCCCTAGACTCCTTCTCTGCCATTGCAGATAAAAGATACAATAACTTTCATTTCATTACCTACAATGCCTGCTTCTTCCACTCCTATTATCAAAGCAAAGAAGGAGTACAGAGGTAGATAAGATATTGTGCTAATTTCTTCCAAATTATCCCATATTCCTTAAATTTACCTCAGCAATCAGAGAAGCCCTTCAGAGAGATAACCTTTGCCCATTCGATGAAATATAGTTACATGGGCTACAAAAATTCAGGATTAATATCAGTAACTTCTTGAAACTTCTATCTCATGACATAGTATTATTCATATATTAACTTATTTGACAATTATTTATTGAGGGACTATAATATGTCAAGTGACTATCCGGAAGCTGAAGACATGCTTTTCAGGGGCTCCCAGCTCTGGTGGAGAAAAATAAGTATTAACTCAATACCGTAATTACCATAGATATTTGAATAGAAATTATAAGTTTTTTTCAGAGACTACCTAAATCCTTATAAAATCTGTTCTCAATTTTCTTTGAAAAACAATGTGGAAGAAACACTATGTACTAAAATAAAGTTTATCCGTGCTAATTGTGAAAGCTTACAGAAGTTACCTGCAGAATCAGTTAAAATAGAGGTTAAAATTATGACGCATATACTCGTAATTATCTTTATTTAGACCATGACCTCACATTTGTAAGTGCGGCTTGGCATTATAAACAAGCCTTTTGATGATCATATTAAAAAGGAATAAAGTAAGAAATTGTATTCTGAATATCATGAGCACATGTCAATGGAAGAGATATTTGTTGTTTGGGATAGAACTTGCAGAGACAACCGTAAGCAAGGATACAAAAAGTGTCATGTATCAAACCAAGTGGATGGGAGGCAGGACATCTGTACTGGTTAGAGTGCCATCTTTAGGGACTGAATGCTTGAGAAGATAAATCCCAGCTCTGCTTCTACTTGCAAAAAATGGTGAAGATGCATGTTTCATAAACGATCCAAGTAAAAAATATTTTTAAATTCTGCTATAATTTTATGTAATCCATGTGTATAGGATTGAATAGCATTCCTCAAAAACTCATATGCAGTCGGAATGTCAGAATGTGATTTCATTTGCAAATAGGATCTTTGTGGAAGATGAGGCTCTATGGACTGAGGACGGGCCCTCATTCTAACGACTGGTGTCTTTATGAGGGAAGGGGGACATAGTGGTGTAGAATCACACAGGAGAGAAGGTCAGATTAGGGTGATACACCTGCAAGCCAATGAAGGCCAAGGATTGCCAGGAGCCACCAGAAGCTAGAAGAGGCAAGGGAGGGTTTCCCTCAGACCCTACAGAGAGAGCATGGCTCTGCTGACGCCTTGATATCAAACTTCTTGTCTCCAGAATTTTGAGAGAATACATTTATGTTGTTCTAGGCCGCCCAGTTTTTGGTGCTTTGTAATGTCAGTCCTAGGAAACTAATACATCGTGTGAATAAATAAATAAATATGATTTGACCATTTTACCTATTTCACTGAAAGTTTATATATTCACGTAGATCGAAACAAACCTCAATTTCAACTTTTTTCTCTAAGAAAAGTTTGTGAATTACCCTATAAACCAGCATAGACAGTAGCATGATATACACTTTGTCAACTATTTGACTGTCAAGACAATTTTTTGTTCGTTACTCTTTAGGTAGTCTGTGGAAATAAGCCTTCTTCATACATTGCTGGTGGAATGTAAATTGGTACAACCCTAGTGGAGGACCATTTGGAAATGTCTTTTAAAATTGCAAATGCATATTCTCTTTAACCTAGAAACTCTTCTTTTAGGAATTTATCCTAGATATACTAAAACCCAGTGTAAAATAATGAGTCAAGATTATTCATTGAACCACTGTTTGTAAAATCAGAAGATTAGAAAACACATTTAATGTCCATTAATATAGGAACTGATTAACTAAATCACAATTCAGCTACAACATGAATGACTTATAAGATATAAAAAAAGATGTAGAAATGCTCTATGTCCAGGCTTAGCAAGCTACAATCTTGTCTGATTTTGTAAAAAAAAAAAAAAAAGGAACATATTCACATTGCATATTGTCTCTGGAAGTGTGGCCACTAAACTTCAGAGCTAAGTAGGTGTGACAGAAGTGCTATGTCCTGGAAAACCCAACATATTTGTCGTCAAGTCCCTTACAGAAAAAATTTTGCTAATCCTTGTTCTTGTAGTGATGTTTTACATATGTATATATCACATATGTGTATAAAGCATGGCACAGAAAAATGTGAATATTATGTTAAAATTTTTAGGTAAAGAAGAGGATAAAGAATGTTCGCATATTCTTGTTTCTAAAGAAACTGGCTGGATCAATAAGAAACAACATAGAGGTTACTTCTGGTGAATAGGGAAATGGGGCAAATGGTGGATTGGTGGAAGGAAGATTTTTTTCAGTCTCTCTCTATTTTTATACCACTTAATAAAAGTGGTATAAAAATAAGTTATACAACTTAACTTTTTAAAAAAAATGTGTGGTGCTTTATTTATTTAATAATTATATAATAAATAACATTTTAAAATATTTTGGATACATTAACCATATGCAGCATTTGGTTTTGGGTAAATACGATGAACAAATGATCTGGGTCAATGAAGAACATCTCTGCTGAAATGCAATGTTATATAATTGGAGCACAATAGTTTGGAGTCAGGCAGACATGGGTTTGAATCTCAACTCAGCATTTTACTAATTGAACAAGGGCAAGGATAACTAATTCACCAGAGCCTCCCAGTCCTCACTTCTCACCTCTACAGTGAGCATGGTACACATGGCCAGGGAAAATGTAGGGGCTCTTAAGAGAAATACATACATAGATCTTTTGTCTAATATCCAGCACATAGTAGGCACCAGAGTATTTTAATTATTAGTATCTGTTTTTGGTAGAGAAAAATTCTATAAGATGCCTGGTTCCAATAACAAATAATAACATTTCTTGCAGATATTAATGATTTTTTGTTTATCTCAGTGACCTTAGGGCTTTACTTCAAACTATTTCTTTTTTTTATTAATTTTATTTTATTATGTTATGTTAGTAACCACACATTACATCATTAGTTTTTGATGTAGTGTTCCATGATCCATTGTTTGCCTGTAACACCCAGTGATCCATGCAGTATGTGCCCTCTTTAATACTCATCACCGGGCTAACCCATCCTCCCAACCCCCTCCCCTCTAGAACCTTCAGTTTTTTTCTCAGAGTCCATAGCCTCTCATGGTTTGCTTCCCCCTCCAATTTCCCCCCTTCATTTTTCCCTTCCTACTATCTTCTTTTTTATTCTAATAATATCTCTAAAATTTTGCCATGACAAAGAAGGACTGAATGGAGTGCATAGATACAAGAAAAATGAAAATCATCAATGGCAAAACAACAAAGATATAAAATAATCTGGCAGTTATGCATTTTTACTCACATCAATATAGCTGGCATTTATATAATTTGACCCTGCATCTCCATTTATATCAGAGAGTTCAACACGGTTATAATCATCTGTTCAAAGAAAAGAAATATACGTAAGTGAAATAATGAATAATCAAGTAGCCTAAATATAATATATAGAAATCCAATTCTCAATGAGTACTTACAAGGAAGGATGTCAACGTAACGGTTTTTATTCTGGTTAAAGGGTTTTCGAGCATCCTTGATAGAAAACTTGCTGAACACCCGTGGAATGCTCTGAAAGACATGAAGATCCTTTGGGTCACAGTGGATTCAAGAAAAATAGTTTTCCCCTTGCCACTTATCATTTTGAATAAAGGAGACATCCTATAACATATTTCCTTTATGCTGATAAGCAAGCTGTTTCTGGTAATTTAAATTAACACTATTAGAAATTATGCAAAAAACACCTAAAAAATGAATGATGGGCTACTTTGAGAATAAAACCCGTGAGTGAGAGCAAGTTCAGAATTGATTACCACTTTAAAATTCATTTAAAAATACATACTTGGATATTTACTTAAACTACAAGTACAAAACTGGCCAAATAACGTTTTGTGACACAACTTCATAACTGATAATGATACAACGAAGAATTATCCTGAAATATTTACTAGTTCCATGACTATAAGTCTCTCTTCTGTTCTGTAAATAGGTTAATAATGTCTACTTTAACTATGTTGCAATATTAAGTGGGTAGTTATATAATACATTTAAAATGGAATGATCTTGGGCGCCTGGGTGGCTTGGATGGTTAAGCGTCTGCCTTCGGCTCAGGTCATGATCCCGGGGTCCTGGGATCGAGTCCTGCATCGGGCTCCCTGCTCCTTGGGAGCCTGCTTCTCCCTCTGCTTCTCTCTCTCTCTCTCTCCCTCTCTCTCTCTCCTCCTCTGTCTCTCATGAATAAATAAATAAAAATCTTTAAAATGGAATGATCTTGATAACTGAGTAAATTTCTCATCATATATCAAGAGGAGCACATACCTGAAATTCAGCCAGAAAAAGTCTTCCTTCATCAGCAATCTTCCTCTTATAAGTTTCCAACAAAATATCTGCATGGATTGGCTCCACACTCATCAGTTGTTTTTCATCATCTTTAAACATATTAAGGATTCATGACCAGGGTTATGTCTATCTTTCAAGTGTTCACACAAATTTCATTAAATTTGTAGCTTAGATTAACCCTTTGCTTCCTTCCTCCTCACACATATTCTACCTGGAAAATCTCGCTCATCTACAGAGATTCACTTATAAAGCCATGACTTCTAAATATTGTGCTCCAGCCCTCTTCTGGGCTTTATATTAACCTTTCAGACTATCTCCCAGATTTCCCATACAGTTATCCCACATGTACCTCAAAGTCAAAACGTTAAAAGTAAAAATTATGTTTCCTAGACTCTAGTATTTCAAATCTCAGTAAACAGGATCACCATTCACAAACTAATTTAAGACCGAAACTTCCACGTGATCCAAGATATCCCTCTCCGTCTCCATATCCAAGTAGGTCACTGGGTGCTTTTTTCAATCCTTTCTGCTATTGGTCAGGGTCAGGCAGTCCTCCTCATCCATGTAACTACATCCTCCAAACTCCTCTCCTTGTCCTAGTTTTTGCTCATGCTGATTTATTTTAAACTGCCCTAAAATTAGTCTTCTGAAATACAAATATGAGCATGTAACTCTACTTGTTAAAAAATTATAACACTATTATTAGTGTTCCATTGCCTAAATCTAAAGTTTGAATACTTAATGTAATATAAAAATTATTATATTTATGTGTCTATATTATAGCTATTGTATTTTCCTTTTTCCTTTTTTAAGTTATTATGAAATTTTGTAAACATACAAATAAGAGAATATGATTAATACCCTGATACTCAGGACTCAGCTTCATTCGATATTCCCTTTACACTAAGCTATGAACAAGTTGTGCTTATCTGTTATGCTTCCAGGGTATGAAACACATTATATGCTATGCTTTTTTAATAACTTAGTAAGGAGTAAAAATACATATTAACCATAAAGAGCTACAGTTGTATATGGCTCCTGAAAAATAACAGTTTCAGAAGAATAAGAGAATGTAAACTGTCATACATGTAAAAAATAATTTTCTTCTATTCATGTTAATGTTCTCTATCAGGTGAAGAAAAAAGATGTCTATTAGGGTTGCACATTTTTCTTATTGTCTGTGGAAATTTTCTATCCAAATACTCTTATCAAATTAGCCATGTGCAGTTGCTTCTTTGGGTTGTTGGGAATCTCTGATATTCATTCATTCTAAACCTAGGGCCATCTTTGAGGTTTTATGGAGTCTGGGTAAGTTCTAATGCACGCGAATGGCCAATTAGCATCAATTTTGAGATAAAAGTCTTCTTTGACACTTCCTAGTCTGCCTTGACACCTTGAAATTGATTCCCCTTCTCTGCTCAGGAGCTTGTTACTCTTGTGCTCTTCATTCTTCCCTCAGTCTATCAAAACTAATTTTCAGAACATTTTACCTCATTCATGCATGTATTCATTGACATGTTTTGAATTCCATATACTCAGATAGGTACTGGGGATAGAGCAGTGAAATGAGAAAGAAAAATCTCCCCATCTTCATATCCCTATCTTACATTCTAGTTAAGGGAGGAGAGTTAACAAATAAAATATACAATACAATATCAAGCAGTGAAAGATTTTGCAATGGAAAATCAAATTGAGGAACTCTAAAGAACCAACCCTAATGCTTTTGCTTACTGATTTGGTACCTGCTCTTACAGAGGGAAACCCTTTGGAGACAAATTAAAATAAGACAGAAGAGTTCTTAAATTTTTGCTGTCTTGAATATGAGAAAACAAATCATTTTCTTTACTGTAAACATAGTTTCAATCTTTATCTCCATCCCCTCTTACTGGATCAAAAATCACATTTAAAAATTTAAAGAAATAATGTAAAAGTTGAAAAAGAAGAGAAAAAATAGAATTCCTTTTTTTTCTCCTAAGTCAACTTGCAATTTTGTGTCATGCCCATAAATGAGCCTTTAGTGGAAAAGCGGCCATCCCACCCTTGCAGAGACTTGAGCACACTTACTACCTCCTCCTTTATGAGACTTTCCATCTGTTCATCCATCCACCACCCCCTCATCTAATGTCTCCCCACAATCTTAGAAGACCCAGATGCCTGCCTTTCCCACTCATAGTCTTCTATCTTTCCATAGAACCATACACATTCAATCGCCATGGCATTTACCAAATTGCTGTCATATTTGTTGATATTTCTGTCATCCTCTACTAAATTTTAAACCCTTTGAGAGCAGAGTCTGTTGCTTGGTCACTGCCATATTTTCATTGCTGGCACAATATTTGGCATAGAAAATTCATCGTACTTACTGATCTAATAACTAGAATTTATATATACATATATATATAGCGAGAGAGAGAATGAATTTAAGTTTCATCATTGTATCAACAGAGGAGGTCCAAATTATATTTTTTAAAAATGTTGAATTCTTCTTTAAAATGAATGGATTCAAATGTGAAGGGGATATTCACCAGTAAAAAATATGTATACTTACCCCTTTCAACAAGTATAACCTCTTCTTCCATATTGCTGTGAAAATAAAAAATGTAAGTTTTTTTTTTTATTTTTTAAGAAACACAGACTAAAGTTGGGATTCAATTTATATTTACTGACTGTATGAAGGAAGGAGGGAGTGGAAGCAGGGAGAATTAAAAGGAAAGGAGAGGAGGAAGAGAGAAGAGGGAAAAGGAAGGGAGGAAGGGGAGGGAAGGGGAAGGGGAGGGGAGGAGGTAGGGGAGGGGAGGAGGAAGGGGAGGGGAGAAGGAAGGGGAGGGGAGGGGGAGGGAGTATGGCAGGGGAGGGGGAGGGAGAAAAGAATGAAGGAGAGGAGATGGAGGAGAGAGAGAGGAATAAAGAAAAAGTAAGGGAGGAAGAAACCAACCAGGAGCTGTCTTCTAAACTTAGTTAAGACTAAATTTTTTATTTTAAAATTCTTGTTTTTCATAAAATGTAGTTGTTCCTGGCCAAGGGAATATATACAATTCCTTAGATAGTTCTCTCTTTTCTTTTTGCCTTTACCATTTCTAGATCCCTCAGACCTACTTTGTACTAAAAGAATAAATATCTATTCTTTTCATTGACTATTATTTTTAAAAATCCATAACATTATTAGTAAATGTAGAAAATATTTGTATTTACTATAAACCAAGAAGTCCACACTAAGTTTTTGATCAAAATTCACTGATGAACTGGACTTCTTGTTACTTCTCATTCTTCACTTAACTGGTTCTAAACTTTCCCCATAGATGGATGCTTTCATCATTATTACTATTACTTTTCGTTTTGAAATCCACTCTTACCTGGACCTCTTGTTGCGCAGGTCATAGATTTTATAGAGAACATAGAGCAGGCATAAGAATGTCACAATGATCAGAAATACCAGAAATACAATCAGTGCTCTAGAATTATCTAGAAAGAAAAATAACACATGAAGAAAGCTTATTATGTCAAATATTTTGCTGGGTTTTGAATATCACCTTTAAAGTATTTTCATTTTAATATGTTCATTTCTTTTAAGACTTTCACAAAATAAAACTTTTAGAATGAGACCAAATACAATAATTCTTGATTTTGTGTATTTTGCCTATATTATTCAAAACAAATAAAAACACCTAATATTTTAAGGGAACAATTAGAATATAAAAGAGAAACTCTCTTTTCTTCCACAAAATACTGTTCCTTTATGCAACACTATCATTTAGGCTTAGTTCTCTTTCTTTCAGTCATTCCATTTGGAAGGGATAAGAGAGGTAATCTAGTTATTACAAATCTCAGAGAAAAACTCATATAGTTTAACTTTGGTGCAGAAGCAGATAGCCTCCTAAAGGGATCAGAAAGACTTCTGTCCCACAGCAATAAAATTTCCCACCTAGTCACTAAGGTATAAAATCAATTAACCAAGGGACAAAAATTGTTTTATTCTACCATTAAGATTACTTATCCTGATGTAAATTTTCACCAAAGTTTAACATGAAATCATGCCATTCCCAGGAGAAAAGGCAGAGAAAAGAGAATGCTAGAGGAGAACATAGGCAGTAACCTCTTTGACCTTAGCCATAGCAACTTCATACTAGACACATCGCCAGAGACAAGAGTAACAAAAGCAAAATGAATTATTGGGACTTCATCAAAATAAAAAGCTTCTACACAGCGAAAGAAGCAATTAACAAAAATAAAAGGCAGCCTATGGAATGGGAGAAGATATTTGCAAATGACATATCTGATAAAGGGTTAGTATCCAAAATCTATAAAGAACTTCTCAAACTCAACACTCCCCCCCTCAAAAAAACAATCCAGTGAAGAAATGGGCAGAAGACATAAATAGACATTTTTCCAAAGAAGGTATCCAGATGGCTAACAGACACATGAAAAGATGCTCAGCATCATTCATCATCATGGAAATGCAAGTCAAAGCCACGATGAGATAACACCTCACACCTGTCAGAGTAACTATAATATTAACAACACAGGAAACAATAGATATTGGTGAGGATGAGAAGAAAGAGGAACCCTCATACTCTGTCGGTGGGAATGCAAACTTGTGGAGCCACTCTGGAAAACAATATGGAGGTTCCTCAAAAACCTAAGAATAGAACTACCCTACCACCCAGCAATTGCACTACTAGGTATTTACCCAAAGGATACAAAAATACAGATTTGAAGGGGTGCATACAGCCTCTTGTTTATAGCAGCATTATCAACAATACCTAACTATGGAAAGAGTCCATGTGTCATCAACTGATGAATGGATAAAGAAGATGTGGTGTGTATATATATATATATATATATATATATATATATGTAATGGAACATTACTCAGCCATCAAAAAGAATGAAATCTTGCAATTTACAACGATGTGGATGGAGCAAGAGTGCTTAGTGAAACAAGTCAGTCAGAGGAAGACAAATACCAAATGATTTCACTCATATGCGGAATTTAAGAAACAAAACAGATGAACATAGGGGAAGGGATGGAAAAATAAGGTAAAAACAGAGAGAGAGGCAAACCGTAAGAGACTCTTAACTATAGAGAATAAACAGGGTTGCTGGAGGGGAGGTGAGTGGTGGGATGGGCTAAATGGGTGATGGGTATTAAGGAGGACACTTGTGATGAGCACTGGATGTTGTTATATGTAAGTGATGAATTAGTAAATTCTACTCCTGAAACCAGTACTATGCTCTATGTTAAACTAACTCGAATTTAAATAAAAACTTGGACAAATTTTTTAAAAGTAAGTAAAAAATAGATGTTATCAAAGTAAATGATAAAGTAAAATTTTATTTAAATAAATGTAGAAAATAATAATAATAATACAAGGAATCTCCTCAGTCAACGTCCCCTCTAAGGATCGCAGAACTTCTAATCAACTTTTCCTATTGTCTCACTATGGCTTTGATCAGACTGCTTATAAGAACCAAACTCTCAAGGAAACCCTAACAAGAAAGGGGGATTCCAAAACAATAAACTGATTTACAATTTCCAAAATGTGACTAACAGGAGCTCCAAAAGGACTACAGGGAAAAAAAAAAAAAAAAAAAAAAGGAGCAAAGAAAATTTCTCAGAGATGTAAGTCTCCAGGTCACAAAAGCCAAGAGTATGCAGGAAAAGAAATGAAAAAGACCAATGCAAGATCAAGAATAAAGAGGAAACCCTAAAAGTTCCCAAGAGAAGAAAAATATAAGAATATAGAAAAAGAATGAGAAACGGGATGACATTAGAAAGTAATGCTGGATGCAGGAGAACAAAACAGAAATACTTTTTCAATTCTAGATTTTTTTTTTTTTTAAGATTTTGTTTATTTATTTGACAGAGAGAGACACAGCGAGAGAGGGAACACAGGCAGGAGGGTCAGAGGGAGAAGCAGGCTCCCCGCGGAGCAGGGAGCCTGATGCGGGGCTCGATCCCAGGACCCCGGGATCATGACCTGAGCCGAAGGCAGACGCTTAACGACTGAGCCACCCAGGCGCCCCTCAATTCTAGATTTTTTAACTTAGAATTCTATGCCAGGTCAAAATATTGATCAAGTGCCAGAGTAGAATCTAGCATTGCATTTTTATATGAACAAGAATTAGAATACTTTCTTCTTACACTAGAGAATATACACCAGCAATTTTTTTTTAAATGAGATTCAGATGTAGCAATTCTAAAAGAGGAAACTAATGAAGGAAAATGTTACCACAGCAGCTGAGTTATACACCTAGGGAGTCCAAATCAGTACAGGAAGAAAGGGGCCCCAGGAGTTCAATTGGGAATGTTGTCAAAATCCAGATGAAGAAATCTTATGCCAGGGAAGCTCAGGAATACTTTTCTGGTAGGTGTATTCTTGGCAAATCCCAACCCAAGACCTCCCCTGAAGAAGATGTCACTATTAAAAAGTCATTATAACTATACGTTGGCTAATTGAATTTAAATTTTTCTTTAAAAAAATGTCATATTATTTATCTCTAATGAAAATGCCATTGAGAGCAAAAAGTGAATAAAACTTTTTCTGTATTCTGGAAAAAGGACCATGGGATAACTCTCTAGCTCCATGGACATGGAAATCTGAGAAAAGTGAAATATTAGCTGTGTTACTAGGCAACATTGCTAATGGTGAAAATGATCCCTGATTGTCAAACCGCATCTGGACAGGGAGGTTTATGTACCAACTACACGGTCCTGGCGGAAGCCCTCTACCTACAGGTTTCCCTGAGTGGAATAACGCGGGGCGCATCTCAGTTCTGGCCCCATCCTTGTTGGCACGTCTGGAAGTCATGCCCCTGGAACTATTCTAAGAGATAATGGTTCCTTTCTTAACCTCGGGTTTCTAAGCCAGGGCAGCTCCCATCCCCACACACGCGATCTGATTCTCTCGTGTCTCCCTTGCCTCTGGGAGGGTCGCAGAATGGTTCTCGGACCGCCAGGCACACTGCCAGCCTCCGTCGCTGGCGCCCTGTGTTCCCCGTTCTGTGTCTCTCTGAGTGAAGCGGTCTCACGTCTGGCCTCTTAATTTGTGAGTGTGAAATGTCCAGTTGCATCTATGACCCCCAAGAGTAGGTGCTGCAGCTATAAGCTATCTGCACACTCGGGAAAAAAAAATAATTCAATGAAGCTGTTTTTATTGTAAAGAATTATAAAAGAAAAGTACTTATATGGAAATAAAATCAAAGCGATCTGGCTGAATTTGGTGGGCATTTCATACTGGGAGCTTTTAGTTTAAACCTCTGAGCAGAAAGAACTAAAACTTTACATGGGCCTTAGGAAAGCAGCTTGGAACATGAGCTTTTATATCTTTCCTCTTTTCAAAGACTTGGGAAAATAAGGCATTAGTCATTGTGCAGATGCATATGTGAGGAAGAGAGTAAGACTGAGACACTGCAATAATAGCATCAGAAACTGCCTACAGTTGATAACACAACACACGGAGATTTAAATAATTTAATTTAATTTACAAGCCAACAAGCAGAGAAACTTAAAACAATGAAGTAAGTCTTCTTCCTCCATAGGATCAGATCAGTGGGCAAGGTTAAGAACTCTAGAAGGAGTAGCAGCTAATATTCTTGACATATATGGAGGGAACTATGAGGAGAACTGAAAATAGAAATGGTGAAAAGTGGTCGTCTTGGGGAGCAGGACAGAGAGTGTGGTGTGCTGACAGGTACCTGTTATTTTCATTATTATGATGACATTCAATTTAAGTGATTTTTTTTCTCTCTGCAACTTTGATTAAAATATGTAAAAAATTAAATAGCCATATTGTTATTAAACATTATCTTAGCTTTAGTTAGATAAATCAGGACAGACCTGTAGTTAATGCCTGCTTCTACCAAGCTTACCTTGGACTGACAGAATAAGATAGAATAAGTAACAATCTCTAAAACAGTACACAAAACAAACATGTTTTGTAAACAAACATGAAAAAGTGTCATAAACCTAATCATAATTTAAGCCTCTACAGATAAATCCTCTTATGAATTATTTTATGACATCAACAATCCTTTAATAATCGAATCTCCTAATTGAGTTTAAAAATACTGTATTTTACAGGGAACAAACTGATGGTTGTCTATGGGAAGAGGGGTGAGCGGATGGGAAAATGGGTGAAGGGGAGTGGGAGGCACAAGCTTTCAGTGATGAAATGAATAAATCACTGGAGTAAAAGGCACAGCATAAGGAATATAGTCCATGATATTGTGATAGGGTTGCATGGTGACAGATGGGAGCTACACTTGTGGTGAACATAGCATAAAGTATAGAGTTGTTAAATCACTGTGTTCTACACTTGAAACTAATGTAACATTGTGTGTCAACTATACTCAAATAAAAAATTAAAAATAAAATAAAATATTGTATTTTATTTACCTATACATGTTTTTACAGGCAACTTAAAATATTATGTTTATGGAAAATATATGAACATTTAAAAATTAAATAGGAGTATAAATGAAAATAAAGCTTTGTTAGTGTTAATATATATTTTGATATAAATAAAATATAATAAGTAGCCATGTAATGACTTACAAGATGTTGATTGAGAAACCCTTTCTGCAGCTCCATTAAAGTCCCCATTGTTATAGTAGACCTGAATTTCAGTAGTAAAAGAGAAAATAGTTTTCTGATGTAAATTTGTTTATCATAATGTAACACACACATTACTTCTCATAAAATGCTGTTTATTTTAATTTAAAATATACAGGTTAACTTTAAAGATTGAAACCAAGGTTAGGTCAATATTTTGTTATCAAATATTTTTTAAAGAAAATATTTAACAGTGAAAAAGACAAAGAAATCTCAGCCTATTTGCTATAATAATAATAATAATAATAATGGTTATAATCAGCAAGAATAAGTGAAACTGAAGGAATAAAACCCAATACATCAAAATATTCAAATCTTAAAGTTAAAATTCCTTATCTAATATCTTTACATTTTATTTAAAAGGGAAACTCTATCATATACTGTTTATAAGAGTTATAAATAAAATGCACATACAATTTATAAAAATAAATAGAAATAATATAAAAGTCACAATATTTATAATAAAGTGGTACTTAGTTCACAAGGGTTAAAATGATAAAGATTGATACCCCCAGGGTACAGATACAGGATAAAATCTACAGTGTTGACCTAAGTAGCATAACTACCTGTGTCTCATAATATTGAATACAAATAAAACCAACACAATTTAGTGATACAAGGGAAGCTGAAAGGAGCAAGAAAGCAATAAGAGGCTTTGGCAAAAAACAAATTTAAGGAAAAATAAATCTGACTAGTATTATTAAAAGATAAACATGGCAAATTTAAAAAATATATATTGAAGTTTTTATCCTTTGGTAAAATTTAGCAAATATAGTACTCACAGAATATTTATAAACATTCATTATACATTGAGCTATTAAAAATACTTTATAAATTCCAAAAAGTAGGAATTGTAAAGACTAATTATCTTTTCTTTTTTTTTTTTTAGTGGTGGGGTGAAATTTAAATTTTATAAATGAATATTCTTTTTTTTACAAGTTTTTCTTTTTTTTCTTATTATGTTATGTTAATCACCATACATTACATCATTAGTTTTTGATGTAGTGTTCCATGATTCATTGTTTGCATATAACACCCAGTGCTCCATGCAGCACGTGCCCTCCTTAATACCCATCACCACGCTAACCCATCCCCCCACCCCCCTCCCCTCTAGAACCCTCAGTTTGTTTCTCAAAGTCCATAGTCTCTCATGGTTCATCTCCCCCTCCGATTTCCCCCCCTTCATTCCTCTTTTAAAAGCTAATAATTAATAACAATAAAAATCCAAGCACCAGAAATGTAAAAACACTCTCTTTAAAAACAGATAAATTAAAAACTCTTTCCAATTGCTATTATAAATTCTTTGGAAATTATCAATAATAAGAACATTCTACTCTCAAAATCTACTCATTAAATTTTATGTCAGTCATTTAAAAATTAGTAATAAATAACACAGACATGGGATACAGTCAAAATTTTACCAAAGGACAGTTCATAGCTTTAATTCTTTCTTTTGTAGTTGTTTTTAGATAATAAAAAAAGAAAGAAATGGACAAAAAGCACTTTCAATCCCAAATTACCAGAACATAAAATAAATCTACAAAACAGAAAAGTAATAAATTAACAATGATAAAAACAACTTTATTAATCTACTAACCAGAGATTACAATGATGACTAAAGCTAAAACGATTGGTCCCTCGTGATGGCATAAATGTTGTAGTGGAAACAGAAAAAAACATGAAAATGAATTATGTTGGTACATGCAATGAAGAAAACAAGAGACAATCTTTTGGAGGGTGGGGAAAAGAATGGATAACTAAATAATTATATACTAATAAACATTTTAAGAATTTTTGTGATAATTTTTTTTTCTCTAAGTTACCAAATTACCCTTCCCGTAACAGTATATGAAGTGACTGCTCTTAAGTCTCACAATACTGGGCATGCCCTTCTTTTTCTTTGATGTTTAGTAGGTGAGATATGGTATTGACATCTCTTTTTGCCCAGTTTTATTTGGGGAAGGTTTTGGATATTAATGATATTAAACTCTTTGTCATATGAGTTGCATTTCTAGTTTGCAGTTTGCTTTTTATTTTTATTTATAACACTTTAAGTGATACACAATTTTTCCTTTTATTTTTTATTCAGCCAAATTTATCAGTTTTATTTCTGATTTGACGGAGCTTTAAACAGTCAATAGTTGACTGTTCAATATAATGTTGGCAACTGGCTTCATATCCTTTATCACTTAAATGTTTATATATATAATAATTCTTAAAATATATGTAAATTCCTTTTGACCCAATACACTTATTTCCAGGAATTTATTTAAACAGAAATTATTGGAGACACATTCAAAGATTTTGCTATTTACCTGTAAGTGTGTTTATTTATTGATTGTTGTTTATAACAGAGATGAAAACAAGCACAGTTAATAGAATGTGATAAAGCCATATGACAGAATCTTATGCAACCATTAAAAATTGCAAAGTAGCAGAATATTTAACATGGAAAAATGTTCATGATATAGTGATATATGAAAAACTGTGTGTTCAAAATGTTGATAACATATATGCTGAATATATATAAATATGCATTACATGTTATGGAAGTTGTGAGGTAATGGAAAATATTTATAGGTCTTTGCCCTTGGTTCCTATCACAGAACTCCTGAAACCCTTATAATTTCCCTGCTGATAGGAGTGTTTTTCATTCTAAGAGGTGACTGGGTGGGCTCCTGGATGGTTCCTAGATAAGGGCCAGTCATTGGAAAGATAAAGCCATGAGTAGAAGCTTGGAATTTTCAGTCCTGCCTCCCATTCTCTTAAGAAGGTAGAGGGGCTGAAAATGAAGTTAATGATTGATCACATCTACATGATAAAGCCTCCTTAAAATCTCCAAAGAACAAGGTTTGGGGAGCTATCAGGTTGCTGAACACATCCACATCAGGAGGGTGATGCACCCCAACTTCATGGGGACAGAAGCTGCTGTGCTTGGGGCCTTCTCAGATATCACCCTATTATCTCCTCATCTGACTGTTCATCTGTATCCTTTATCACTTCTTTTAATAAACTGGTAAATGTGAATAAGTATTTCCCTGAGTTCCGTGAGCCACACAAACAATGATACCTGAGGAGAGCCTGATTTGTAGCCAAATTGAACAGAAGTTGAGGATAACCTAGGGACCAACTACTTTGCAGTTGGCATCTGAAGTGGGGTGGGAAGAGTCTTGTGAGACTAAGCCCATAACCAGTGGAATCTGCCACTGTCTCAAGGTAGATAGTGTCAGATTTGACTTAAACTGTAGGACACCCAACAGGTGCCACAAAGACTTGCTTGATGTGGGGGAAAACCTCCACAGATTTGGTGACCAGAAATGTGGTGTTGCAGGAGACTCACAGAGAAGAACACACAAGAGAAGACTGAACTGAGGTTTTTCCCTACAACCAGGACAGTCTTTTCATTTTAGAAGTACATTCACAAAATATGATCAGTACACAGTAAGCTTATAGATGAGTTTTTTAATTCTCCGTGTTCACTGGTATTTCCTAATATTTATTTCTACTATTTTCTAACCTCAGTGTACCTGTAAAATATTTTGTAATTAAGAAAGTCATGTTAATAAAGATAAAAAGTCAAGGTAAATAAAAAAAAATTTGACAAAGTAATAATCGACTACATAAAATGTTGTGCTTTTTGACACAGAAGCAATAATTCTGCTATAAATAAATCATATTGAAGGTCAAAAATATTCCAACAAAGTATTTGCTTGAAACCACTGTTTTTAGAACTAGGGATGCAGTTTGGAGTCAAACATTTAAGACTTTAAATGTGATTTCATTAGACACAGTTTCTCAAGCTCACATGAACACTGGTCTTGGTATGATTTAAGTATGATGTAACAATCATAATGCATATCAGTACTATAATGATTATAGAAATTGTAATCTTACCTCAAGTTCATATTTTGTTAAATATTGAAGATCTTCTACAAAGAATTCACAAACTTTTTTTGAATCATTTTTAACATAACTACCTCCAGTTTTGACTTCCAGATGGTAGTAGCCATCCCCGCAGCCATTAAAGTCGGTAGGAGGCTGACAAGTCACAATTATAGTATTATCGGACTTCAGTAAAGCATGTAATTCCTTGACTTCACTTGGAGCTATCAAAATGAAGAAAGATTTGTTACTTTAATCACTTTGTAAATGCATATTTAAATCACTTGGCAATACATGTGGACAATACAAATTATTTTATGTGTTAATTTGGGAGTTATAGATGACGAGATCATAATAGTACATCCATCAAAACCTTGTAACAAAACATCTAAAAATAAACCACCTAGTCATTCAATGAACATTAGCTTATATGTTGTACTTGAAGTCATGAGAGTTTATGCCATCCCCTAAGGGGAGTATATAGAATTAGAGAATAGAAGGAAAGAGAGGGAGGTGAAGGGGAGGGGAAGAAAGGGCAGGGAGAAAAAAAGAAGATGATATGGGGATCCTGAAGGCCTATATACAGTCCAGCACCTCCATTTTTTTTAGATTTTATCTTTAAGTAATCTCTACACTCAACATGGGGCTCAAACAATCCCAAAATCAAGAGTTGTACATAGTACCAACTGAGCCAGCCAGATGCCCCCAGCTTCTCTGTTCTTGAGATGCTTCCATCATCATAGTAACCACCTACCTGGCTGCATTCTTCAGGAGCAGGATCAAATTATCTTCGTTTTCCGTGACTTCACAGAAATTTAGAAAAATAACAAAACCATAAAGTTCAAGGATCTGGACTTTTAAAACCAGAACCTAAATGACCTTAAATTTCACTAAGAGCATTCTGCATCCAACCCTGAATGAGACAATTTTTCTTCATGAGCCTGGTGCCAGTTAGGGTCTCTGGAGCTACAGACACTGCCTTACACAGGGGCATTTCTTCCTCCCTGACTTAATGGAGTTAATACTCACCTCAGAGACAGATCTAACTTTAGATCTTGGAAACTATGGAGACATCATACAGGTGGCAAGAGGCAAATGCCTTTGAAAGGAAACCTCAAATGGAAAATGTGCCATAAAATAAAATAGTAGGTAGTTCAGTGTAACAAAGAGAAGAAAATGCCAATAAAATGTTATGTTTTATAGGATGTTTTGTCAGGTAAGCTGAGGTTAGCAAGTGAACACTTTGCTTTCAAAGTGAGACATTATTAGGTGTCTGTTTACAGTTAATAGTTCTAGATAATATAGAAAACAATAGATAATGTATTTCTATCTAAGTTGATTAGGTACCTAAATTGCCTGAAACCTTAAAAACTGTACCAGTTAATATGCCTTCTGCTTCATTCTTACAATTCTATGATGATATATGTAGTATACAGAGAACCCAGGATAACGTTTTTGAATTACTGTGTTTTAAATCATTATAAACCCTAGATGTTAACAAATGTGCCACGTCAGTGTGTTTCCCAAATGAAACACAAAGACAGATAACAAAGTTCATACTTTGCTCCTTGCCTTTCACAGAAAGAAGCAACAAAGCTTATAACTAACCTTTTGCTTTTGTTTTAAAATCACATGTCACAGGATTTCCATCACGTCGCACTCTTCCAGTGGTGTAGGCATTTAATAAGACATGGTATTTAGTACAAGGTGTCAAATTTTGCAGTTCATATCGAGTGTTCTCTTTATCCAGTTCATCGCATTTTGGGTCTTGGGGGAAAACTTTATTAAGTCATTAAAAGTCAGGATTACCACATATTTAATTTGGTCTTTACATTAAATCATTTTGAGCCAACTCCAAACTGAGAGATTGAGAAATCCATACATCCTTGGTGCTCAGAAATACTGTGTATACAATTATCAGCAAATGTATTGAACAAATTCATTTATTATAAATAAACTCAAATATTCAAAAATATAATTTCATATAATTGATTTCGGACATAAAATATTTAACAAGTTCAAGTACATTTGTGAAGGTGGTCTTTTTCCTTTCTGAGAAAACACAGCCCACAGTGAATCTTATGAAAGTCTTGAGTTGTATTGTTTTAGAAAGAGTATTTTTTAGTGAGCCTTTTTCTAATATGTAACCTTTAAATTTTGAACATTGGTATTAGCTAGTGTTACGGATTTTAGGCAGAGAATCTGTTCGAAGACTAATAACTACATCCACTCTGCCACTGCACACTGGCCGAAGAACCCGAGCTGCATGGACAGAAGAGTGTGACCAAGTCAGTGTAAGGGATTAAAAGAAAGCATTACAAATGAAAGAAGGAGCATTCTGAAGGTAGGGACAAGCCTGACTAGGACAGCAGATTCTGGCCAGGGAAGCATATGGGAGGTAGGACCTTGTTTAAATATGTTTTGACATTCAAGCAGAAGAGTTAGCATTTGTTAAATTGAAAATTCACGAGTCACTATGTTTGAGTAGCCAAGTGACATCAATCAAGACATATTAAAGGACAATCAAGATGTAATTAAAGGAAGATTAAAGTTGGAAGCATGATGCTGGGTAGCAGTTACAGTGATAATAGTAATAATAATAATGATGATAAAAATAATGAATAGGTCATTCTATGTGCCAAGCGCAATTTTGCATGGTGTACATGAATTAATTAGCCATCACCACAACCCTATAGGTTGGCTGTCTTAGTTTCATCCAGTTTTACAGATGAGAAAACTGAACCATAGAAACATTAAGCAATCAGTCCATGATCTCATGAGAAAGGAGGAACAGAGCCAGGATGGGACCCAGGCATTGAGGTTCCAGAGTCTATGCTCTTGCTTTCACCACTGTGCATACTGCCTGGTATGGAAGAAGGGATGAGGGTTTGAAGTGGGGCCAAGTTGTTTTTGATCTTGGATACTTCATTTCTCTGGTCCAGCTTGATGTGCTTATGGACTTGCAGAAAAAGTATAAGAAAAAATCTAACATGATAATTTCTTGTCTCAGTTCCTTATCCATAGTATCGAGATTATAGTAATATCTCAACCTTACCATGGAATGCTAAATAATGAGTAAGATAAAGTGTCTCTTCTACCCTGATTAAATGTCTATTTTCTCAGAAATCCCCAAAGCTAGAGTTAATTGATTTATACCTGCCAGCTTAGTTCTACTCCGTCCCTAGTGAGAATTCTCTTTGAGGGCAGGAAAGGTGTGAGCTCGAGAGAGGGGCATAACTCTCCCCCACCCCTCATTCAAGGCTTCTGCTCACTCCTTATATGGTATCTGACTGCTAGAACAATACCAGTTAAAATCCAAGCATCAAGATGCTATTCTCAGGGTCACTCTGGCTTCCATTCAGTGACCTAATTTTGTATGTTTGCATATGTAACCTGACAACCATTCTGTTTCAAAATGATTGATTTACGTAGTTCTGTAAAGCTTTTATCTTAGCTAATTTGACAAAAGTCAAATTGTTAATTTAATTTTGAAGAATGCTTGTTCAAAAGATACTGCTGTTTGGGGATTAAAGTTTTCAGTGCTTAGAAAAGTGGCTCAGAATGTTCATTTCCGATTGCAAAGGGTTTCAAGATTTGGTTGAAATGCCAAAATACTTTATGTGAATATCTCTGCCTCCTCCACGTGTTTAAACACTTTTTCTCAGGATTCTGACAGCAGAAGTACAAACCGTATGGAACACACTAAGGACTTATTTGACATAGTGCTTGAAATTTGTCTTTTCTTAGAGCAACATAACTTTCAAGTCATGAATGTTGACTGGAAAGGGTTAGAAAGACACTGGTTTCCTCACTTGTCACTTCTTTGTTTAAAAAAAAAATACCTCAGAAAATCCATTAACAACTTCCCAGACTACTCTAAAGTATCTACTTGAACACTATGGTAAATAGTATAAATGTGTTGATCCCCAAAGAATTTTGTGCTGGAAGGAAAAAAAAAAAATAGCTTTCTTCTTAAAAAAAAAAAAAAAAAGTAATACACAAAATTTCCAGCAACATCATTGTGGTCTTGAAGGGGGCACACTGGTTTCAGTAACTTTTGAAAATAGTACTCGGGGGCACCTGGGTCTCAGGGTCCTGAGATTGAGCCCAGCGTCGGGCTCCTCATTGAGCATGGCATCTGCTTGAGATTCTCCCTCTCTCTTTGCCCCTCCACGCCTGCTCTCTCTCTCTCTCTCTCTATTTTTCTCTCTGTCTCTCAAAAAAACAGTACTTTGGATGCAACAAAGCATAGACATCTCTTCCACATTACTGGGGGAATTTCTTGTCACTTGGCATCCTTAAGTTAATATAAAATACTGCAGTTTCTCAAAGTAGCTCATGCTAAAAACATGAACAACACAGTAGCCAAAAGAGCACAGTTCAAGCTGTTGAATTTGAACATTTATCAGAAGTTCTGTGATCCTCAGTTGCATCATATGAACTATGGATACATTTATGCACCTCTTTTTTCAGAGTTATTATTGAAATGTTTAACAAATCTTAAAATATTATAAAAACACCAACAAACAGGAAACTAAGTAAATGTAGGAAACTACATTTTCCTTCTCCTTCAGTACTTAGCTTTCAGAGACACTGAAATGGTTAGATTATGAAATAATGAAATCAAATGTAATACCCAATTAAAAAGTAATATAAACTGCAATAGTACTTCATAGACTTTATTCCTGTGGATTTTTAATAGTAACATTACTTGAAATAATGAGAGAAGTTAAAGGAATCATTTTACCAATGTTAAAATCCTACCAACTCCCTGATAAAATGGAAGAGGATCTCATGGCATATGTTTGAGATGAATAGAAGAGCAGAACAGCCTTCTGATTAGGGCAGTTGATTTGGGGGGAAATGGGGGAAAATATGAAAAGTAAAATAGAAGGACACATATAACCTGATATTGGCGAACTCACCCTTCTCTTCTCTCCAATCCTGCTCAAGTGTTACATTTAGATAACCACAAGTTTGGGTAGCACTAAATAAAAAGGAGCTACACTAGTTGTAAACAAAATAAAACTAAAACAAAACAAAACTTGTCAGACTGCTAATAATTACAACTTCCTTAACCTGATTATTAAAATAGACATTTTTAAAGGCTGTACAGAGTACAAAGGAGCAATAAACACTGCTCATAAATTTTCACCATATACTCTTCCATACAAAATACTTCCATATAAAAATACAAATTCTATAGAGAGTCTAGAAAAGGAAGAATACAGCAAGGAATAGTGAGTAGAAGATTCAGAGAAGAGAAAGGAAAGCCAAACAACGTGTTCATACAGAGTCCAAACCAAGGAAGTTTGTACAAGAGGTGTCTGATGAAGCAGCAAGTATCTAATTGTCTTGCTGTTTTCTCTTCCGGTAATTTCCATTTTTCCTTTCCCTTAGACCTAACTTTTGAAATTACCGTAACATCAAATACATGGCATATATTTTTCTCCACAGCCTTTGACTCCTCTTACGCTAATTTGAAAATGCATGTGTATTTAACTTTGCTTTAGTAGTTTCATTATTAAGAGTCAAACAACCAGCAGGAACAATGTTATCAAAATATAAAATAACATGCTGAAAATAACTGATTTCAGAATCTTAAATTTATGTCTGTTTCTTTCCCATCAAACAAAGAGATGGAATTCTGTGTGATACTCAGCTCAGTCCTACTTTAAGCTACAAGTAAAAGATTGGCAAGTGGGCTCTCTCACATGCTGAGTCAGCTTGGAGAGGATCCAGTAATGCTTACAGTTTTCTACAAGCATTTTGCATACTTTAAACTATCCAGAAGATGTTTTTTTTTTCTCTAAAACAGCCTCTCATTTGGAGGGCTCATGGCTGAACTGGTCATAGCACATTTTTTGAGCATTTATTTCTGCAAAGTCTAACTAGAACTATGCTCCAAGATTCCATCTGCCATCAAACTGGCTTCCATGGCTAAGTGGATACAATGTTCACTTTTATTCACACAACATTTTGTGTATATCACCTGGAGCAAGCTTTGGAAGGTATTTGTTTCTTTGTGGGCCTGAATAATGAGTTTGAACCATACAACTCACATAATATTTGGAAAATAATAATGAGTATTATCTTCCAGAGATTTTCCTTCTCCAGGACTTGGAGTGTAAAGATTAGAATTAAGACAGATCAAGAAAGACAAGCAAATATTGGGGCTGTTCTAGTTTTTAGTCACATCAGAGGCTGGAGAGCCCAAAGTGAGTAGAAGCTATTCTAAAATCAAGGCATATAGGGTGCCCATCACAGTCAGTCTGTGGCTCACTAGCTCAATCCACATTTCCAGTGCTTTCCACTCCTGGGATTTATCTTTCCTGAAATGGAATTAAATCTTATACAAATTACCTGCAGAATCTTTCTTATAGCAAAGACTATAATTATGAAAAAAATCTTGAGGCGGTTTCCAGGTGAGCGTTATGTCATTTGCACTTTCATTACTGCACGTAAAATTCTGAGGTAAGCCTGGACCTGTTAAAAGAATAAGAATATAAAATATGAGAAATAAGAAATGGAATAAAAACATTCTTCATATTATAATTATGATTATTAATAACCATATTTTAACTATGAATTAATCATGAAATTAAAAGAAAGACATATGGTCTTACTCAATTTGCCTTAGAGATTACCTAACAGAGGAAATGTCACTCTAACGTGGCACCGTGGACCTGAGAGAGTCCGCTGACCTGAAGACCTCTGAGAATACCCTCTTCCTCTCATATATATTATTGTTCAGCTATCCTGGGATTTCTAGCTTTCACTGTGCTGAAAATCTGTCATTGGTAGTACTGCTAAACTTAACTGTCATTATTTGGAAGCTTCCAGTAACTAGTCATCATAACTTGAGATGAAGAATATAATAAATGCCTAGATCAAATTTTTCAGGTATAATTTACATTAAGACACACTAATTTGAGGTAAAATGTATGACTTTTGACAAATATATGCATCTACATAACCACCACCACAGTCAAGACCTAGACCATCTCTAACATCCCCGCAAAGTTCTTCTGTGCCACGTCCCAGTCAACTCAGCTCCCTTGACCAATCCCAAACAGCCTCTGCACTGCTTTCTTTTACTATAGGTTAAATTCATTTATTCATCCATTTCACATAGATAAAATCAAAGTACTTTTTTTATGTCTAGCATATGGCGCTCAATATAATGTTCTAGAGGTTCATTCATGTTGTTGCATGGGTCAGTAGTTGGTTCTTTTATTTCATGAGTAGTATTCCATTGTAAGGATATACCACATTTTATCTATTCATTCAACTGTTGTTGGGACATTAAGAGTTGTTTCCAGACTTTTGGCTACTATGACTCAATCTGCTATGAATCTTTGTGGAGAAGTCTTTGTGTGACATGTTCTTTCTTTTTGGCAAATAACTTGGAGTAAAATTTCTAAGTTATTACCTTACATTCTCCACCAATAGTATTGTCAGTCTTTTTTAACGTTAGCCATTTTAGCGGGTGTGTAATGTCATCATCCTCTCGTAGTTGTTTTAATTTACATTTCCCAGATGACTCATGATATTGAGCATCTTTACGCATGCTTATTGGCCATTTGCATATTTTCTTTTGTGAAGCATATGTTCAAAATGTTTGAGTATTTTTAATTTGGTCAGTTGTTGTCTTATTTTGTATTTGGAAGAGTTCCCTATATATTCTGGAGAAACTTCTTTTGTTGAAAAATTAATTGTGGATATTTTCCTATAATGTATGGATTGATTGCTTTTTATTTCCTTAATGGCTTTATTTGAAGAGCAGAACATTCAATTTTGATAAAGTTTAATTTATAAAGCTTTTCTTTATGATTCTTCCTTTTTGTGTCCTAAGAAATCGTTGCCTGCACCAAAGTAGCAAAGGTTTTTTTTTTCTAATGTCTTTGTCTAGACATTTTATAGTTTTAACTTTAGTGTTTAGGTCTGCAATCCACTTTGAGTTAATTTTTGTGTTTGTTGAGAGGTAAAGACTGATGTTCATTTTTTCTTCTATAGGGATACCTGGATCATTTGTTGAAAAAAACTACCCTTTCCCATATTTTTTATAAATAAAGTATATTTTTTATTTATAAAAAATTTCCTAGGATTTCTATTTTGTTACATTGATTTATAAAGATTGCAATAATTTTAGTACTTAATATTCAAAAAATATCACATTTTTTTAGGTGTGCTGGGACATAATTTTAATGTAGTTTTATTTTTCTTCTTGTGATTTTGTTTTGGAGAGTAATCAGGAGTCATACTGAGGCAGTTCCCTTAATCCTTAGCTAACCCTTCCATATAACATTTAGAATCATTCTAGTATGGTCTATCAAAAGTTCTGTGATATTATCCTTAATAAACAAGTTCAGTAATGTGGCTGACTACAAGATCAACACAGAAAGTAAATAGTATGTCTATATACTAGCAATAAACAATCTGAAAATTAAATTAAGAAAATATTACCATATAAGCAAGAATAAATATAAAACTAGAAGTAAATTTAACAAAAGAAGTGCAAAACTTATGTACTGGAAACTACAAAAAAAAGTTTAATACATTAAAGAAGACTTAAATTAATGGGAAGACACCGCACATTCATGGACTGGAAGACTAACATTTTTGAGATGGCATTACTCCCTAAATTGATTTATACAGGTTTAATGCAACCCTATCAGAATTCTGACTGGCTTATTTATAGAAATTGACAAGTTGATCCTAAACTTCACGTGTAATTTCATGGAAACTTGAATAACCAAAACAATTTTGAAGAACAAAGTTGAAGGAATCACAATTTCTGATTTCAAAACTTATATAAAGCAACAGTAATTAACAGTGATACTAGCATAAGAATAGATATGTAGATCAATGGAATAAAGCTTAGAGTCCAGAAATAAGTCCATCGTTACGGTTAACTTTTGACAAGGGTGGCAAGAATATTCAATGGGGAAAAGATAGTCTTTTCAGCAAATGGTCCTAGGACAAGTGGATAGCCATATCAAAAGTATGAAACTGAACTCTTACCTCACATCATATACAAATATTAACTCAAAGTGGATTAATAGTGTTACATTTAGGAGATAAAACTATAAGACTATTAGAAGAAAACATAGGAATAAATCTGCATGACTTTGGATTTGGCAATGAGTTTTTTTTTTTTTTAAGATTTTATTTATTTGAAAGAGACACAGCGAGAGAGGGAATACAAGCAGGGGGAGTGGGAGAGGGAGAAGCCGGCTTGCAGCTGAGCAGGGAGCCCGATGCAGGGCTTGATCCCAGGCCCCAGGATCATGACCTGAGCCAAAGGCAGACGCTTAACAACTGAGTCACCCAAGTGCCCCTGGCAATGAGTTTTAAAGGTGACACCAAACCATAAGCAAAAGAGTAAAAATTGATAACTTGGACTTCATCAAAATTAAAATCTTATAAGTTTCAAAAGTTATCAACAAAGAAAAATGACAACCCACAGAATGGAAAAAGATATTTGCAAATCATATGTCTGACAAGGGACTTGTGCCTAGAACATATAAAGAACTCTTATAACTTAATAAAAAAAAATTTAAATTAGCAAAGGATTTGAATAGATAAAAAATATACAAATGCCCAATAAACACCTGAAGCCATGCTCAAAATCATTAGTCATTAATCCAAATCACAATGAGATACCACTTTATATCCACTGGGATGACTATAATAAAAAAGAGAGACAATAATGAGTGTTGGTGAAGATGTGGATAAATTAGAACCCTCACACATTGTTCATGGAATGTAAAGTGATGCGACCACTTTGGAAAACAGATTGGCAGTTCTTCAAAATTCAGAACATAAGGTTGTCATATGATCCCGAAATCCAATCCTGGGCGTGAACACAAGAGTAATGAAACATAGGTCTATACAAAACTTGTAAATGAATGTTCATAGCAGCATTATTCATAATAACCAAAAAATAGAAACAACCTAATCAACTGATGAATGAACAAACAAAATAAGGCATATCCATACAGTGGAATATTATCAGGCAATAAAAGAATTGAAGTATTGATACATTTTACAACATGGAAGCACCCTGAAAACATTATGCTAAGTGAAAGAAACCAGTCACAAAAGACAACATATTATACGATTCCATTTATATGAAATATCTGGAATAGGCAAATCCATTGGAGCAGGAAGTAGATTGGTAGTTGTGTAGGTGTGGAAAGTAGGAGGGAAATGGGGACCGAATGCTAACAGATATGGGGTTTCTTTTTGGTGTGATAAAAATATTCTAAAGTTCTAAAGTTGATTCTGGCAGTGATTGCACAACTCTTAATATAGCCTTAATATATTTTTAAAACACTGAATTATATACTTTAAATGGGTGAATCACAAAGTTGGTGAATTAACAACTGACACATCACAATCTCCAAACCCAAAGTTCATATTAGGGCTCATTCTTGGTGTCATATATTCTGTGGGTTTGAGCAAATGTATCATATGACATGTACCCATTATTATGGTATCATGCAGAGTATGGTATCATGCAGCCACTGATCTTTTTACTGCTTCCATAGTTTTGCTTTTTTCAGAATATCATATAGTTGGAACCATACAATAGGTAGTCTTTCCAGATTGGCTTCTTTCACTTAGTAATATGCATTTAAAGTTCTTTCATGTCTTCCCGTGGCTTGACAACTGATTTCTCTTTAGTGCTGAATAATATTCCATTGTTTGGTTCTACTATAGTTTACCCATTCACCTACCAAAGGACATCTTGGTTGCCTCCGAGTTTTGGCAATTATGAATAAAGCTGCTATAAACATCCCTGGGCAAGTTTTTGTGTGGACATAACTTTTCAACTCCTTTGAGTAAATTCCAAGGAGTGTGGATTGTATGGAAATAGTATGTTTTGTTTTGCAGAAACCACCAAGATGGCTTCCAGAGTGGCTGTACCACTTTGCATTCTTACCAGTAATGAATGATTTCGTTTTGGATTGCAACATTGTTCCACACGTTGCAAATATTTGATGTTGTGAGTGTTTCAGCTTCTGGACATTCTAATAGACATGTAGTGTATCTCATTCTTGTTTTTGTTTGAATTTCCCTGATGGCATAGGAAGTAGAGCATCTTTTCATATTCTTATTTGCCATTTGTATATCTTTTTTGGTGATTATATATTTTTAATACACTGAAGGATCCACTTTGCTAACACTTAATTTACTATTTAGTATCTGTATTCACAGGAGAGATTGACCTATAGTTGCCTCAGTTTTACTCAAGTTGCAAATCCACTGAACATTAACCCTAAGCCTATCCTAAACCCTAAGAATAACCAAAATGAGTTGATAGATTTCCCTGTCTTCTATCCTGTTGAGTAGTTTGGATAAGATAGAAACTATCCATTCTTTGAACATGTGGCAAATTTGTCTTCATATTTTCTTGAGGACAGGTGAGGGAAGCAGATGGTGAGTGTGAAATGAGTAGAGAGACATTGGACTATAAGTTTAATTCCAATTTTCTAACGCCTCCCAGGTAAATTTTCATAATTCATAATTTCTAAAAAATTATTCATCTTATCTAACTTTTCATATTGGATGCAAAGTTGTTTTATAATTTGTTAAAAGCCTACTTTTGGAATTTTTTAAATCAATGGGGGGTTTCATTTTTTGCTAGAGGTCTATTTTATTATTCTTTTTAAAAAAAAACAAGCCTTTAAGTTTGTGAATAAATTCTTAGTATAATTTTCTTCCTCTTTCAATAACTTGGTACTCTAAACTTAGTGATGTTCTCCCTTCTACCATTTTTGCATTTATTGTTTTGGTTCTTATAAGCACTCTCCATTGATTGTCACTCAGCATACAGCAAAATGATAAAATTTCTCCTAAAATATCACTTGGTCTTCCTTCAGACTATGAAATTCCTCCACAATATGTCTTTGCTCAAATCTGAGTATCTGTGTTTCAAAAGGTAAACTGAGGCCATTTGCATTGATGGCGACTTTTGATGTATTGTGTGACATATTTCTGCTATGTCACCTATTGCTTTCTACTAGTATTTCTTCTCTCCCTTTCTCTTTCCCTCCCCGCCGCTTCCCCCTCCTCCATGTCCTCCTTCTCTCTCCCTCTCTCGTTCTCTCTCTCTCTCATTCTCTCTCTCAATCTCTCTCTCTCTCTTTTCCTCCTCTTCTTCCTCCTCTTTCTTCTCCCTCTGCTTCTTCTTCCTCCTTTTCTCCACTACCTTTTCCTCCTCTCCTGTCTTTCTTCGGTGGGTACTCATAAATTGTCATACACATAATCACCATATTTTTTTCCTAGCAGATTCTACATTTCATTGGAATCTCCATACTTCCACCGAATAAGAGTGGAATTCTAGCACTGTTCCCTTCCTTCTCCCCTCCAGCTCCCAAAAGCTATTATTTTCCAGAATGGTATTTTCCAACTGTTCTTAGCTATTATAGTCTTATTATTTATATTGCTGGCATTTTAGTCACGCTAACTGTTATCTTGCCACCAATATTTAGATTTGCCGCTGTGTTTTAATAGCCTTGTGCTCACTTCTATCAAAGGCAGGGTTTGATAGAGGGGCAGGGGGTGCAGTAGCCCACCAAGAAAGAAATGGTGCTCAGGAGAAAACAGGAAATGCGTGAACAAACCGGATCATCCATCTTGGTTTTGTTTCCACCATACGCTCACAAGGGCCTACAATTTGCAGTTGAAAAAAACAAAAACAAAAACAAAAACAAAACAAATACACAAAAAACTTGACAAAGTTTGGATCTTCCGTCATTCATTTTGAAATTCTACTTTACAAACTGATACATATCTAATTTCTGAAACCCTTTCTCCAAATCTACAGCATCATTTTCTGTGATTCTCAAAGAATTGTAAGAACATAAGAAGAAATTTTACATACACATATAAGTAATATACTCACTTCCAATATCTGTTTGAACAGTTTTATTTATGTGCAAAAACATATGGTCACCATAGAATGCTTGTAAACTACAGGAATAACTTTGGTTAGGTGAAAAGTGTTCAAAATTAACTTCTTTCTTATTATTTTCAGTACAATTACCTGAAAGACATAAGTATCATATGTCAGTATATGAATACAATATATCACTTTTAACTTTCTCTTTAGATTTCATATCTATAATCATTTAATATCTATCAGAATTGAAAACTTTTACAAATAGTAAATAATAAGTAACTGATACTACAAAAAACTACTATCATTGCCATACTCCATTTTAAAGAAAATATTAAAAAGTCTAACTGAATTTGAGAGTGTCTCTAATATAACTGATGGAAGGAGTTCTCTGTTCAGAAACTGAGATTGAACCTGAGTTAGCTTTTGCCTAACAAATATTTTAGATACATCATTGTTTTACCATCAGTTCATCATCAGTTTGTTCTTGCTTTCCTCATACTATTTATATCACAGCCATGAATCTTCTTTATAACATGATGATTACAACCGGTGTCACATTGCCTCCTTTGTGTGTGTGTGTGTGTGTGTGTGTGTGTGTTTTGCCAAATATGGCTTAGCAGATGGCTTTATACCAAAGAAGGAACTTCCACCTTAATAAATTCAAATAAAAAGAAGTAAAAATTCATTAAGTCATTAATTATTAAAAAGAACCAGTATCTCAATTATTGCCCCCCATATGAACCCAAACTGAAGTGCCTAGAGGCACTTACTGCACTTTTCCCACTTGTCTTTCATGTAAGTGTTCTTGAGGTTGTCTATGAATTTTGTTGATGGAGGGCTGACCACATAAACTCTTGAGTAATATGATCTTATGTTTGCTTTTATTCTAACAGTATGTGTATCATAATTTTTCTATAACATCCTTCTCTGATAATCCCTTCAACAATATCTTGTGTATAACAATTGCTAAGAAAATTCTTGTAAATTAATTGACTGTTACTGTTTCAAAGATTATTTTTTAAGGAAAGTATTTGTCTATTTTGTGAATTTGAGTGGTATAAAGAATACAATGTTTTGACTCCAAATATACCATGGACCAAAAGAGGGGAAGGGGAGGGGGAGGGAGACAGTGGTAGGGAGAGGAAAGGGGGAGAAAGAAGGAAAGAAATAAAGAAGGGAAGGGGTAGAAGGGAGGGAAGAAAGGAAGGGAAGAGGGATTAGATACATCTAGAACAATTTTCTACCATAAAAATACTTTAATCAAAGCTATATTCTTACCACATTGAAATATGTATCTAATTTTATTTTTATCACAAGTAAAGTTTTTGTTTTCTTCTACTTTTAAATAAATAGAAGTATTTGCTTTAACATCCTCTGTACAATCTTTCAAATTAAAGCCTTCAGGACCTGTCAAAAAGAAGATATAGAAATAGTTGATTAATGTTTCATAATGTGTGCCATATGCTCAATTAAAGTGACTGACATTATATTCATGATATAGTCTTTGGAAAGCATTTAGAGTGCTTTTGGCAAAGTCCAATAATTCAGGGTTTTGCATGTCTCAATTATTTAGCTTATTCTTTTTAACTTCACACATTTTGGCAGCATTTTATTTAGAATTTATCTTACCTTTAAAAAATGGGACCCAAGCAAATGTCTAGGTGAAGTTGCATTTTTTGCACATTTTAACACACTTCATTCTTTTTCTTATATCTTCAATTTTTTTATTTACTCTTGATTTTTTTAATTAAATGATTATTACACAAAGTATAGGAGGTTCTGTCTTGGAGAATGTGTTTTTTACATTGTCATTTTCTGTTCCTAATTGATAATTTATTTCAGTAATTTTTCAAAAAAATCAATCTTTAACCTATGTATTTTTAAGTATTTATTTTATTTTATTTTGCAATTCAAAAATTCCCTACAATAACAAGTGCACTCCTTAATCCGCATCACCTTTTTAATCCCCTTCCCCTCTGGTCACCATCAGTTTGTTCTCTATAGTTAAGAGTCTGTTTCTTGGGGCACCTGGGTGGCTCAGTTGTTAAGCGTCTGACTTCAACTCAGGTCATGATCCCAGGGTCTTGGGATGGAGCCCCGCTCCCCGCTCGGCGGGAAGCCTGCTTCTCCCTCTCCCATTCCCCCTGCTTGTGTTCCCTCTCTTGCTGTGTCTCTCTCTGTCAAATAAATAAATAAAATCCTAAAAAAAAAAAAAGAGTCTGTTTCTTGCTTTCTGTCTCTCTCTCTCCTATTTTTTCCCTTTGTTTGTTTTGTTTCTTAAATTCCATACATGAGTGAAGTCATATAGTATTTGTCTTTCTCTAACTATTTCGTTTAGCATTATATTCTCTAGCTACATCCATGTTGTTGCAAATGAGAAATCCAATAAAGGGTTCATATCCAAAATATATAAAGAACTTATACAAATCAACACCCAAAAAACAAATAGTCGGGCAGAAGGCATGAACAGACATTTCTCCAAAGAAGACATGCAGATGGCCAACAGACACATGAAAAGACGCTCATCATCACTGACCATCAGGGAAATGCGAATCAAAACTACATGAGCTATCACATCACACCTGTCAGAATGGCTAAAATCAACAACACAAGAAACAACAGATGTTGGTGAGGATGTGGAGAAAAAAGTCCCCTTGTGCACTGCTGGTGGGGATACAAACTGGTGCAGCCACTGTGGAAAACAGTATGGCGGTTCCTCAAGAAGTTAAAAATAGAACTACCCTATGATCCAGCAATCTCACTGCTAGATATTCACCCAAAGAATACAAGAACATTAATTCAAAAGGATACATGCACCCCTATGTTTAAAGCAGCATTATTTACAATAACCAAGATATGAAAGCAAACTTTAACCTATTGAGATGTTAACAAACCAATGTTCTTGAATTATTATGTGATGTGAGATAGTCAAAATATTTACAGTTCCTGAATCCCTTTGCCAAAATGCATTTTATAAAGATATGCTTTAGTGGAGTGGGCTTGATACCCTGGTCCCTTCTTCCCAGCAGGAGCTGAGCTGGCAAAACCGGCTTGATCACCTTAAAATGATCATAATCTCTTTTTTTATGTGAAAGTATTTTTGTTCTTTCCACAACCATCAAATCCTTGACTTTGTGTTTTCCCCCAATATACTCCAGACACAACTGTATTTAGAAGGATAAATATGTGCACATATATATTTAATGACTTGAATTAAATGGGGGGGGAAGAAAGCTTATGGATAATCGCTTATCCACAGAGGGATAAATAAAACTTATATACACGACACACTGTGTAGAAGGAGTGTAGGGAGGGGAAAAGAATTAAGACGGTTTATAAGAGTTCCTAAACTCACTGGGTTAGGAGAGCAGAAAGTTCACCCACTTGCGTCCTGCCGACTTCCTTTCCCTCATCCCTGCTCACTCACCTCACAGATTCCTGCAACCCCTAGCACGCAAGACACATAGAATTGTACTGTTTTGTAAATATACAAATAGAAACCAATTTATATTTACCTGGTGGTACCTCCAAGTTTAAAATTTTATTTGGAATATGACATGAATTATGACTTATAGTAACATTAGTATTTTCACATTCTGGTAGGTCGTTGATCTCTTTGTTTGGACATGAGGCATTTTTACAAATCACATCATCACTAACATTTAGTTTTGCCTTAAATGACTTGGTTTCATTATCATAATGATATTTCACAGGGATATGTGCATACTTCTCATCTGAAAGAAAATAAAAGTGAGGATTATCTTTTAAAAAAATTTCAGAACAAATAAACCTACATCAAATGCAAGCACCTTAATATAGATTTTCAAAAATATCAAATATTTAACAAAGTATCCCCAGAAACATGAAAAAGAGAGGAAACACATCAGGTGTGTCCATAATTATTTTTAAAATTCTCTTTATATCCCTGCCTATCAAGGACCTCAGCTTTTAAGTTTATACTTGGATGATTAACAGATTAATGTCTGTCTTCCTGACTGAACTGTATATTCATTCTATGACAGCAAAGTCCAGTTTACTTTGAGCATCAACATAAATCCAAGTTTTTGAGTAAAACCTGTCATTAGTAGGGGCTCATTTGTTTGAATTACTTGTTGAATTGATGCACAAATGAATGAAGCATCTGACAAGTTTCTTCTCCTTGCTTTATCATTTCCTTTTCTTTCTAAAATGCAGTTCTTGATTACCTGTTTCTCCAAATATGTGGAACATTAATTCAGGGACCACAGGCCTCATTACTCCTTTACCTAGGTAAAATTATCAATAATAAACCCTCCTAAGGACCTCCCCTTAGTGACATCTCACATTCTCTCCTTTATTTAAATAAATTCCGTTGACTGGTAAAAATATGTTTTCCACAAATGCTAATTTGTTCACTCATTTTTAATCCAATGAACAATTATTAAGCCCTTATTATCTTTAAGACATTGTCCCAAGCCCTAGGAATACAAATGATCAGCTCTTAGAAACGTAGAGTCCTAACATGGAGACAAACATAGACATGAGTTGCAGAAGACATGCAAACACCTAAAACAAGATTATGCACAAAATAATATGGGAGTAGGGTGGGGAGAAATTTATTCAGATTGCAGGGATAGGAGAGGTTCTCCAGAGGAGGCAGGTGACTCAGTTTGTGTTTTAAAATATGAGCAGGACATAGAAAAAGAGATGGTGGGGGGGGGGGCGGTGCGCTGGTTGAAGGCGGAGTGGAATTCTAAGCGTAGAGGAAGAAGAGCAGGAGAGAACACAGAGACATTATGTAACCACTATGTGTTTAGAAAACTGTAAGTAATTTCGTATTAGTTAAGTGAAGAGTGTACGGAGGCAATAATATAGGAGAAATATGATCATAAAATACCATATTAATTAAGCAAACATATGAAGGCTGATCTTTACATTAAATGTATGGGGAGCTACCGAAGGCAGAGACTTCAGCGATGAGATTCACAAACAATATGGAGGGTGAAGCCCCCGCCACGGAAGACTTCACTGAGAAGAGAGTAGGAAAATGGGAAAGGGGTTGCACAAACTGCTCTCAAGCACCTGCTTTGAGCCAAAGCCCTGACAAGACAGAAAGACAGAGAGGCAGAGACAAAAACAGATTCTTTTTCTTCACAAGCCTTGAAGGTATTCTCCACATTTCACATGTATCATTACACTGAATTCTCACCCCCTGCAACCCCAAAGCAAACTTGCTATTTTCCATTTCATGCACACCCAAATGGAAGTTCAGTGGCTTCACAGTTGTTCAGCTAGTAATTACTAATCCTGATGCTCAAAACTAGGTCTGAATATGACATCAAATCTTCTTGCTCCTGAAGGACACTGGCTCTTAAGATTTGGAACTAATCATTACTGGGAAATGAGAACCAGTGAGTATAGCTTGCTAGTGGGTCTTGAAGCTTAGAACAAAGAAGGAAATAATTCAAACAATATTCTAAAGTGATATATGCTCCCTCTAGATAAACAAACTTACCACATGATTGCTTAGGTGTAGTAGGAACTATAATAGAAAAAAAAGAGTACAAATTATTAAAATTTCATTTACAATATCTCTGCTATAGTCATTTTGGGAAAAGGTGGTTTTACAATGTTTCAACTTCATAAATTGTGAAGTCTATGAGTTAGGTTGAACAGACAATGCAGGGTTCACAGTGCCTAGTACAATGTTTTAATCTCAAAACTTCAAATGTTATAAACTAATGAGCTAGTTCTATAAAACATTTTCATGAATTTACCCAAAAAACATGATTGTGATAATAATAATATTGGCATTTTTGAGCACCCATTTGATTATGGTGTGGTGACATGGCTAACTCTACACGCAGCCAAAAACATTTAAAAGATCCTCATCCCCTTGATTAATCTCAAAATAGATTATATAATTATAACCTCGAGAGAGTTCAGTATATATACACCTTTGTTTAAAAACATCAGAAAACAGGCAAAAGCTGCTTCGTTCCCTAGTTTAATTTTTGTTAAGTTCTTTGCACATATACTGGATCCAGAGTAATTAATGGCTCTTTCAATGAATTGAAACATATCTTGGGTGAAGCATTAACTGAAGAATGAGTGGAAATGTGCTTTGTGAAAGCAAAGAGATCTCTGCTAATCTGGTCTTTGAGTTGGAAGAATTGGGGAAAGAAGAGTGGGTTTGCAGGCTCTGCCATGGCCGACCCACTGCCTGACACTGCCAATTGCTCTGTTCATTCCCTAGAGGCCCCTTGCTTTTGCTTCCATGCTGCATGTTGCATGACTGGGGCTCTACAATCAATCCTCTGCTATTCACCACTTGGAATGGAGAATCCCATTGATAGACTAGTTCCTTTTTATATGAATACCTAAACCCACTCTTAAAGAAAGAAGTCCTAGTATATTTGATTATTTTTCTATGCATTTGCCTAAAGTACAAAGTTAGGAGAGCAGGGGGCTGCTATAATGACATGATAGGTTATGACAGTAACATTGTGCCCTGATCTCACCAATTGTTGCCTTGCTAAAATAAGGGTTTTAAGACTAACTGGTATTCCACAGCCCCCATGACTAGAATACTCAGTTGAACTTCTCAAAAAAAGGAGCCCCGTGTAGAGCAAATGGAAGACCCTTCTATGAGCACATCCCAGGTACATGGTATGACTTCATGGCTAAAGGTAAGATTGTCACCTATTGCTGTGGGAGCAGTTTTATGGGTAATGCTTGTTGCAGGTGAAGTGGACGTAAGAGTCACATCTGCAAGGAAATGAACAGAGAATAAAAGTTAATGAGTTTGTCATATAAAGGGCAAAGGAAAAACTCTTCAGCAAAGATACTTTCCCAACCCAATCTTTACTACAGGAGACCTCATTGGAATTAACTCTTGCTCATTTTCAAAATAAAAAAGTGAATCAAAGCTTTATCTACCAATGGCCCTTGAAGATAAGCAATAGTTCAAATAATTAGAGCATGACATTAGATAAGTTGAGAGAAATTATTCATTCCTTGGTGTAATTCTTACCTGATGGTCAAACTACTCTTTTCTCTTTCAATTACAGCTTCCTTATTTTAATTACTAATAAAGATACCACTTACTCTTTTTTAGTATTCACTGCCTATCAGCCTTTTTTACATACTCAGTTCTCACATCAGTCCTATAAAATGAATGTTATAATATCCAGTTTTACAGAAGGGAAAACTGACACACACAAATTATTAGTGGCTTGTGCTAAAGTCAGCCAGAAAGTTAAGGAGGCTGGATTCGATCCGGCTATATGACACTAAAGTCTATTATCTCTCTTCTTTGCCACCAACATTCACACTATGAATAACAAAATAAAGTATGCCCAGAAAAAAAAGCTTACCGGCAAGTTTATTTTGTCTAATTTAGTATCAAGATAATGAAACTTTGTAAAACAGGACACCTGCAAATAATATTTGGTATGAAGTAAAAGAGCTGCATTAAAGTTTCAAGTCTCCATGTCGTTATCCATAACCTAAGACACCTAGAGCATCCTGGTCAAACCTGAGGCGTTATCATTGGCGGTGGTGTTGGAGATGAGAGAGGGTAAGGCAGCAGAGCTGCTGTGTGCAGGGCTGAGGGTGGCTACTGGTGTGAAAGCTGTGTCTACGCGGAAGATGCTGGGTGTAATCCGCTCTCCTGGGAAGCCTGCAATCAGAAAGGCCATCATCACTGTCGTCCATTTCTGCCACCCAAGGGCAACGGCCAGACAGTCAACATAAACAGATTATTGAAGCTAAGGCCAAGCAACAATCAGGCACTTTGTTTTATGTGTTCTGCAAAACTGAATTAAAAACAGCAAGCTTTGTGGAAGAGGTAAGTTTATCGTCAGGCCACTAAAAACCTATGCAGTTCTCTCTTTGGAGCACAAATTTAAAAGTCTTTGGAACTTGAGGAGCCAGCTTGCACAACTCAGGGAAGCCAAACTCCCTGGCTGAGGCATGCTTTGGATGGTAGTGAGAATGCACCATGGCGATAGAGTGGGGGACTGGCTTGCTGGTGCTGACACCACAGAGATGGGAGTGGAGCTCTGGGTGTAAAAGGCTGTGTTAAGGTTGGCAGAAGAGGAAGCCAGACCTGCTATGTGCTGAAAGCCTCGCATGGGGTGCACCTCTCTGCGGGGGGCAGATTTCTGGGTGCAGGTGCTTAGGTCTACTTTTCTTAAATCAAAGCTGAGTGGGCTTCTGCCTGTGCAGTTGCTGAGCTCAGGGCCCTTCCTTTCCAGCTGAAGGTTACAATTCGACTTCCATTGTGTAGACTGCCCTCGCCAGGAAAAAGCACATCTAAGCCAATTGGTATAGAATCAGGCGTCGTTGCTGAAGAAACGGCACAATGTATTTCGTTAGGACCATTCACTCTCAAGCTTCAAAGCACCTCATGCATGTGACATCTTCTTGCAGACATCACACCAGAATTACAGCACAAGCAATCAATATGTATGCATTGGGTGCCTATTACACGACTAGCACTCTGGTAGTTGTCATGGCAAAAACAAAAAGAAATACTAACGAGGCTCTATTTAAGCTTGGTTGGTTATTTCCCTGTCATGATCCCTGGGGTCCTCAGTTCAATGATAGGAGATTAGCCTTGCATTTGCAGTAAGATTCTCAGTGTTTGAGCAGAGTAAAACATGTATGCACATTCTGAAAATGGTTTCAAGGTCATCATGCAGGCATCCTCCAATTACAAACCCAGAACAGTCCATAACTTCACATCCACATCCATTAGAATTGAAAAAGCATCTTCCAAAAATTTGAGTTTGGGTTCTCAGCTCGGTCTACACAATCCACTACCCATCCTCCCATTTCACTAACCCATAGAGCAGAATGAGTGATATGAACAACAGTTCTTCAGTTCTGGATCGCCATAGAAGGGCTCCAACAGAACAAGGAGAAGAGCAGGAAGGTTTTTTTTTTTTTTTTCCTTCTTTAAAAAAAAAGTTTAGGGGCTCCTGGGTGGCTCAGTCGTTGAGCGTCTGCTTCGGCTCAGGTCATGGTCCCAGGGTCCCGGGATCGAGCCCCGCATCAGGCTCCCTGCTCCGCGGGAAGCCTGCTTCCCCCTCTCTCACTCCCCCTGCTTGTGTTCCCTCTCTCGCTCTGTCTCTCTCTGTCAAATAAATAAATAAAATCTTAAAAAATAAAAAATAAATAAATATATAAATAAAAAATTTAGACACAGAACTGGTCCTCTGCCACGTTTTAAAAATCAACGGGTTTGTCTTTTGCCTCCTTCCATATTCTTCCCTACTTCTCTTTCACGAGCTTGTTCTCTTCACCCCACCCCACGCCCCAGAGTCCCTTGTCCTGCTCTTCTGCGGCCCCCATGCTCCCTCCCCGAGTCTCCTCCCTTCCTCCTTCATATGAAAACTATGACTCCCTTGTGTAGCTAATCTCAGTGCCAGTTTAGGAGTGGCTTTTACCATTTTACTTAAGTTAATTAATCCTAATCAATTTTTCATTAGTGGAATTAGCCCCTTGGAGAGAAAGGATTTCTTCATGAGGGCAAATAGGGTGGTTTGTGCATCTATCAGCCCCTGCAGGTCAGTCCCCTTTAGGTCTTTTATGGCTCCTTCTCATCCACCTGTGCATTTGCTAAAAGCTCCAAATCTTTTTACTGCGGTTCTCCTGGCAGCTAGGGTGGGTGGAACGAGGCAGGGAGCCGAGGGCAGCTCTTTTTTCCAGTTGTTTTAAGCTTGTGCATTGCCTGGAATGATTTTTGTGCCTCTATTTGATAGGGTTGACTTCCATCTTTGATTCGTACTTAAAGCAAGGCCACTTTAGTGCCAACTCTGTAGCCCCCCCCCATTGCCATCTTTAACCTTCAAACACTCAGGCCACTCTATTTTTATATGTGTCCATGTGGATTTTTGTTTTTCAGGATAAAAAAGAGGGGGGCACCATGAAGTGACTTAGACGCTGATTTTGGAAAGACAACGAAGGGGATATTTTGCATTGCTTTTACGTATAGAGATGCTAAGCCAAAAGAATCTTCATGTTTGGGGAATATGAAGTATCTATTTCTTTTTTTCCATTTTTTTAAAAAACAATTAAATTGTGGTTACAATTTCTTGGTGCGCTTCATTGATGATGGAAGTCATCCACTCTTCATGATTTTGTGTATTGGTCGGGGATCTTTAAGCAACAATTCATACATACTACTCTTTATTACCAGCAAAAAGTTCTCACTCTGCAATGTTACTTGCCCCAAATATAAAAAAAAAAAAAACATGTAGATTACCCTAAATAACTGTTTCCTCTGGAACAGGTCTTTCCTTTATTCTTGTAAGTCTCATTCTTTATTATTTCATCTCTATCACAAGGACCTTAGTTATGTGGCCTCACAAACGAAGGATAACTATGAAAGTATGAAATTCCAAATTCACCAACTAGCAAGGGCTGCATGTTTAACAAGTGGTTGGATTCCCTCACACTATTCTTAAACACAGGCAGTTGTCATGCTCTCTTCATATTTGCACAAGTCTAACAGCCCCGCAAACCTGCAGTGTCATTCCCACCCGGAGCAGGGGTGCGTGGGGGAAGGGCAGCAGTGTTGCTGGGTGTCTGCGGGTCAGATCCGTCAGAGGGCGCCTGCGAGTCTGCGTGCGTGGGGTGGAGAGGCGGCTGTGTAACACCTAAGGTAAGAAAGTGAAATCATTTCAGTGTTTCCCCACCATAGGTGAAAAATACAAATACTAAGAGGTTATAAGTATATTTGTTTACCAAACCGTGAAATGACTCAGTCTATTAAAATGTGTGTCTGCCTCTATTCAAATTCGCCTGGCAGGAAGGTGGCACCTGTGTTCTTCATTTTCGGATTCCCAGAGGCTCCCTCTGGGCCGTGAAGTCACAGATGATTCAGGTTTCCAGGCGGTTTTTTTTGACCTCCAAGTCACTATGAGCTTTGTGAAGTCTCCTTCAACTTTACAAACTGATAGTTGGGATATTTCTTTGTAGGCAGAATCAGTAAAGAATCCCTCAATATACAATACGCAAATCATAAAAAAAAGAAAAATGGACAAGACATGTAACAGACATCTAATATATACAGTGGCCAAAAAGTATATGCAAAAATGCTCATCACTGTGAAATTTTTTTTCAATGTACAAATGAAATACTTTAACTATCGTACTGTCAGAGTTTTAAAAGTTTAATATCTAGTACTAGAAAAGATGCGCGAAAACAGTTGCACACACATGTACACACATTCTCTCACAGAATCCCATGTCTAGAGTCTGGAGGGTGTATCACGGATAAAACAGTATCTTTAAGAATCAGAAATAGTATTTTCATTGTGTATGTGTGTAAATACTTTTATATATATAAATATAATACATAGATTTTAGTATATAAGTCTAAGTATATACTTTGTATATACTATATTGATGTTTTGCAACATGCATAAAATATTTTCGTAAAAATAATATTACATAATTAAGTTTAATGATTTTTGAACAATTTTGAAAATGTTTGAAAATATTACAGTGTTAGAAAAATGGATTAAGGATTTTTTCCCTACATATATTAGCAAGCCTGAAAATTTTATTGTATTCCACAATATAAATCAATTACAAACAAAAATTAAATAACACGTATAGATTTTATCCCAGTAGATAACTGAAATATCACCTGACAGCAAGATTATTTTCTAGGGGGAAAAATGTGTTCTTTTATTTGAAAGTGTAAGAAACTTTCCAAGCTAATTTCACCATCAGTATTCTTGTGCCAGAGCAAGTTAGTATTTTAATATTATTCACCCTTATTCCCAATCTATTCCATTTTAAATATTTCTTCGTACATTTTACGTCATATGGAATTTTGTATGCGTGTATTTGTGTACAAGAAGTGAAATGTGGAACGTTTGAAATGGAAAGCTCTGTGGGACATTTACTCAGTAAAAAGTTTAGCCTGAAATGTTCTACCGAGCCAACAACGTCCTCATCTTCACATTCTTCTTGTTAAAATTTTGGGCAATGAATTCAAATGCTTACAGTGTTTAGATAGGTCTTAGCCACTACTCTGCTAGTGTAGCGGGAAAAAATGGAGGAAAGATTGAATATACAGTCCTGTAATCAACATAAGGAGGCATTTATCATTTATTTAACTGCTTATTAAAGCCAATAAACTTCATCAGTATGGTACTCAAAGCATTATAATGTACTCCTCCCCGAATTTTTGAGGTAGTGTTATACATACTTGTTTTCCAAACTAAGATTAATGGTCCTGTTAAGCAAATAGCTTAGTCTCTAATCAGAGTATGTATACAAACCTGTTTGCCTCAGAAAATGGCAATATAGCGCATTATTTCAGAAAATGTATGAACAACCTTCATGAGGGTTGATTTATGTACCAAATACACTGGCAGACCTAACAATAAATAGGGAACGAGCAAATCACAGACTTATTGGGATTCTGAAGAGCCTCAGTGGTCTTCCCTGGCAAAAATGCTTACCACATCACTCATATTTTGGTATGAACATGGCCACGTTACCTTAAATTCCACCATTAGGACCCACAACCTTGATTAAATTTTTTAAATAATGCAAATACCCCTGGAGGAAATCCAAATAGCAAAGCGGGATTATAATCCTCAGTGTAGTTTTTAAAAAAAATAAATTGTATATCTCCGTAATTTTCTGATATTGAGAATCTGGAGTTGAACAAAGGAAGATTCTGCTTTGAAATTACAGCCAGGGAGAATCCTCCTTCCCCACAACATTACTTGTGGGGGTTTCCCACCCCCATCCCTCTCCATCGTCTCCTTAACAGCAAGCATTCATTACTTTGGTCAGTCAATATTTCATGAACACCTAGATGTCCTACACTTAACACGCCTGAATAAAATCACATACATAGAAATTGCACACATAATTTAAAGAAAAACTGTTTTGATAATTTTAGAATTCAAAAAGAAAGACAAGTTCTCCTAAACTCATTTCAGTTAACATCTCTGTGCCAACCTGTCACAGTAAGAGTATTAGCATTATCCAAAGGGCTCCGGGATCTTTCAGTTGAAGTATTGTCTGGATTAAGAGGAGGTGTGGTCTCTGAGGAGTTATTTTCTCTTTCAGAGATGCTTGGGAGTGAGAATGCAATGGTGCGGGCAGGTAAAGGGTCGCCTGGAGTCAGAGCACTGGGGTTTTCTGTTGAGTTCAGTCCTATTGTATTCATGGGAGGTGGAAGAAGAAAAACAAAATAAATACGTGAATCATATCCTGCAACATATACTCATCTGCGTTTACTAACTCCCCAGTCCACTATGGCATGTATATAAATATACCAATATACGTATATGTATATATACACGCACAACATAGACATGATATGTGTGTGCATATATATGTATGTGTACACAGAGTGTGTGTATATTAGTAAATACATATACATATATACATGCATATATGTAAATATAGATGCATACAGAGGTATAGATATGTAGACTTAGATATAAAACAAGCTACGGAACAGAGGCTAAAGATACAAATGGGGAAATGAAATTGAAAGCAACTATTCCCTGCCCTCTTCCTTCTCGATTGCTGGATTCTCAACTGTCCAAAGCAATTGGGTTCAGAAGGACTCCGGGAAACAAACTGAGGGTTGCGCAAAGGGAGGTGGTTGGGGGGATGGGGTAACTGGGTGATGGGCACTAAGGAGGGCACGTGATGTGATGAGCACTGGGTGTTATATGCAACTAATGAATCATTGGACACTATATCAAAAACTAATGATGTACTATATGTTGGATAATTAAATTTAAATTAAAAAATAAAATAAAAGAAGGATAGAGCACACGCATAAAGAAAATTGATTAACAGAAATTGTAAAAAAAAAAAATGTAAAGGACTTACCAATGAGGAATAGAGAAAGATAAACTCCAAAAGAGATTATTAGGAGGACTAGTGTTCCAGGAGAAAAAAGATGAAAGATAAAATTCTAGGTACAAAGTGATTATTTTTCCATAAATCAGAGTCAAACAAAGCAAAGACTGGGTAAAAGGGAAACAAAAGTCTCAAACAGATGTACAAATGGCCCAAGTCTACAAAAATGTTTTCAACTTTTTGATAATATAAGAAATACAATTTGAGATGCTGAAATAACACTTTCCATAGTTCCAATTCACCTCAGAAGAAAAAACAATATGACAAGGCAGTGTTGAAATAGGTACAGGCACAGCTGATTTGAGTATTCAGTTGGTAAAAGCTTCCTGCAGGGCACACTAGCACCATGTATTAAAGGCCTTTAAATTTTTGGTGTTCTCTTACTCAGAATGTGTATTTCTTTATTAAAGAATTGGCAGGGGGGGATAGGCAGTTGTGGAGAATACACCAAAAATTGTTTAAAAAAAATACATTGTGATTTCTGGATATGAGGTTATAGCGATACGGCTTTTTTTCTAAATCGTCTATGTTTAACATGTATTCACTTCTATGAATAGCCAAATTTATGTTTTTCAATAATTAGCAAAAAATTGAATTATATCACACAAGTATTTTAACCATTCAGTTCAACAAGAGTGGGTAAGAGAAAATGGCACGAATATGGGAAGAGGAAGAAGGGGAGAAACTGGAAAAGAGTAGAAGTGGTAAGAATTAAGAACCGAAATTAAAAGATTACTGAATAGGGAATTAAGAAAATAGAAGTAGAAAGGACACACAGAAGTCCTTACTTCATTCATTTAATGTCAAAGGCAAAGTGAAATCAAATCAATGTTTACTAAATACAGATAAAAACCATCTAAACCCTATTGAACTTCCCCAAGGCCATGCACATAAAATAATGTGGAACTCTGCTGTGGTTCAGAAATCTAAAGTGATAGTACAGTTGTTACAGTCATTGTTTTCCAAGGAAAATTTTCATACTCTAGAATTTTATAACCTAATAACTCACAAATCAACGTATTTACTAACAAACTTTCACCCATAATACAGGCCAACATATCTAGCTAAGTAATAGGCAAGTAGCTCCTTCCTGGCTTCAATGTAAAATCATAAGTCTAACTCGATTTATTCTCTCACCTGCTCTTTGTTGAATAAAAGGAAGGGAGGGGGGGAGAGGAAAAGACAGCTGGAGAAAAAAGGAGAGGGAACAGGGAAGGGAGAGAGGGAGGAGTTAAAATTCGGTGCACTTTCATCATTACAGACTTGACCAATTACTCGTTTGTTGTTTTTAGGCTCAACTGCCTTTGGTTTCGGCAGGATTCCAATGATCCGTTCTGCTTTGAGAGAAATGTGGCAACGTTTTCCCTATATCACCCATTCCCTCTTTTCTTTTAGACTTGAATTACAAAGAGACTAAAGGGAATATCCTTCCAAATACCTTGCATAATAGTGCTATGCTTTGTTGAAGAGTAGCATTCATAAAGATTATATCTCCCTAAGCAAATTCACTCCAAGGTCTATGCAAAAAAGGGTGTTCAGAAAACTACCTTCCTACCTAGAAGCCTTAATATTCTTGCACACGTCTTAAGCTCAAGGCACATTCCCTAATTCAATGAATAAGAATTTAATTCAGGATTAGAAAACACACTCCAATGGCCAATTCTACATTGTCCTTCATCTTCACTTTGGAGATGCTACTGGTTTCCATTGATCATCTTCTTGTTGGCAATATTTGCAAGAGGACATTCGCATTTGCATTTGGGGTCACTATTTTGACTTACCTGATGTCATCATTTGGAGGCTTGTTAAAACAGTCAGTGCAGAGACAGTGGAAACTCTCTCGATAAAATGATGAGTCATCTACCATTTTAAACATTCACTCCCCATTCTACCCCATTCCCACTCCCCTCCTGCAACAATAACCAGTTTATATGATTGAAATGAACTTAATCATTTGTAAAAGGTGGAAATGCTAACATGCATGAGAGTAGCTGGCATAAACCAATCACATCTACTATGCATTAATGACTTTCATGTATCTATAAAAATTCTCTGCCATACTAGACAATGATAAAATCCTAATACTACATCTTTTAAAAAATAAGAGAGTATACTTCTTATGCAGATTCAGGAACATTTTGTTAGTTTCCACTTAGTTCTTTGTTTCCATAGTTTGAAATGAATTTTCACTTAATTAAAAAAAATAATTCCTTTAATTACCAAATTCTCAGAATATTTTGAATGAACCTAACTAGAACTGTGCATTACAGTTATTAAATCATAATTATCTTAGTGGCTTTACTTACTCTTTTAATGCATACTGTCAACCATATGATGAATCAAGAAATCAGTAATATATTTTAAATAGCAGTAACATGTAAGTGATATAACTTATTTTCTCTCTTATTTTGCATGTAGTATGTATAAATTTATTTTTAACATTTTCATTGTTTAACTTTAATTTATCTCAGGATTAGAATACTCATTAAGACTATTAATTTAATTGTAACAATAGAATTTGGAAATGATTATTATAAAATATCTTACTAATCTCAAAGTTTTTCTTTTTTATATATATCCATATATGTATAACATATATATAATATGTTTAGAATTCTAATTTCTCAGATAATTCCTTAACCAATTTTTGAACCATAAAATTTTGTGATCTAACTTGAATTGTTTGTAATGTTAAAATTTAAAAAGAGATTGGAATCCTGCCATGCAACTTATTGTCAAGTTTAAGAAAAGCTGTAATTTATACACAATAATACATATACAATTACATTCAAGTAGTTATCAAACTTTATATCTTATAAGCAGGAATATTAAGAACAAGAAAACATCAAGAACCATTCATAATTATAACATTTGTCGTTATAAAATGATTTTACTAGATAATAATAGAAAATTCTATCAACATTAAATATATAAACTTTGCAACAACAACAAAAAATAAGTAAAATGCAAATATTAATTCTTACCAAGAGTGGAAGAAGGGGATTCTCCTGAAAAAAGGAAAAAAAAAAAAAACATCTCTTAGAAAATTTCAAATTTCGTACATACTTATGTAAATATAAGTTATATATAAAATCATCTCTATGTTAGTTAACATTCACAAGGTGGCAATTTTCAGTACCTTTTTCCCCACTGAAACTACATTCCTTCTCTTAATGTCATGTTTACAAAGCCCAAGTGTGTCAAAATTATGTTATTAGTTTTTGAATTCTCAGGTAAAATAAGAAAAATAATGCAATAAAGGAAAGCTATTAGAATTAATTTTAGGCTTGCAAAAGACCTTGGAAATTTTCCCCGAAATGCATTCATTTATTTAGATAATTATTATTTATTGAGTGCCTATTATGTGCTAGACATCATGCCACATTCTAGGGATATAATATAACCAAGATATAGAAATTTCCTGCCCCCAATAAGCTGGGTTCAGTGTGAGATACAGAAAAAAAAAAAGAAAAAAGTCATATGGTGTGATGACAAATGAGACAGAATGTGCTGTAGAATCACATAGGGAGATCACCTAATTTAGCTTTCTGGGGTTGGTGGCCAGCTGGGGGAGGATGCGATAGAGAGGGTTTCTTGGATACATTTAAGCTGTGACCTAAAGGATTATGGACAGTTAGCTTAGTGCTAGAGGAATAAGCTGGGATTTGTCTTACAGGTTTTAAACAGTTATAGAAATGGAGAAGCATTTCAATTTTGTATTGACCTTGTTGTAAATGGAAAATAGATTATCAGAAGGCAAAGCTGTGGACAAAACATCAGGAGATTAAAAGAAAAGTATATGAGAAAGATGATGTTCTACATGAGGAAAATGGTACCAAAAAAAAAAAGACATGAAAAAAATCTGTGAAACACTTTGAAAGTAGTCATCAAGACTTTGTAAATCTTTGCAAGTAAAGAAAGGCAGAGAATGAGTAAAAAGGAAAACATTCAGGTTGAGAGTTTAACATACTAGGCAATTGCAGTTAGGTAGATTGTGGAAGCTTTCACTAAGCTAAAGAAAGAAAAGCCAAAGAGACAGGAAAATTTGATATGCTTGAGACTTCTATGTAAAAATACTTGGTAATATTTGGAGGTAGAGGTTGGTAGCTCAAGATATACATCTGGGCTAAGGCTATGGATCAGCATATAGATGAATATTGTAACTACGAAGGTGAAGGAGATTTCCCAGGTATAAAAAAAGAGGAGCGTCCAGGATAGAATTCTGAAGTTGAATAAATATTAAAGGACAGGGCCAGCAAAGGTATGTAGAAGGGCAATTGAAGTCAACAAGAGTTACGAGTAGAGGGTGTTTCAAGAAGGAAATTAATGAGGGGCACCTGGGTGGCTCAGTCGGTTAAGCCTCTGCCTTCAGCTCAGGTCATGATCCCAGAGTTCTGGGATCAAGTCCTGCGTCAGGCTCTCTGCTCAACAGGGAGTCTGCTTCTCCCTCTGCCTCCACCCTTCCCCCCTGCTCATGCTCTCTCTCTCTCTCTCTCGCAAATAAATAAATAAAATCTTAAAAATAAAAGAAGGAAATTAATGAAATCAAATAAAATGACAACTAACATGGATCGACTGGATTTATCAATGAGGGCTCTTGGGAATGTTGGAAAGGTCAGTTTTATTGCCGTGATGGGAACTGGATTCAGTCTGCAGCGAAGTGAGACATGTTTTCATTCCCCCTCTTTGTAAATAACTATTAAAAAGATCATAAAGCTCTTTCCCAAATGATAGCTGATGTGAAAAGGAATCAAGCATCAGATAAAAGAACAGATTGGCTAGTATTTAAGGCACCTTCCTGCCTTGAGATATTATTTTCCAATCTGAAAAAATTTCCTTCCCTCAGAAGCGCCATCAGATGGGTATGACCCAATATTCTTCAATGACATTCCCTGGCTTATTCCTTGATAAAAAAGTATTTGTGTATTAATATATTTTATATATATATAGATCCTATATATACATTACATATTATGTATATCATATGTAAATGTGTAATTATTAAAATATATATTATTAAAATGTATATTGTAGCAAATATTTTCTTACTTTCTATTTATAGTTCTCTACTTTTTCTTCATCATTCAAACTTAAGTATTGTTTTTAATTTACATGATTTGGATTTTTGTCCCTCCTCTTGTTTAGTGAGCTTTTATTTTTCTAGCTCATATAAAATAATATTTTTATTATTTATTTTATTTTTATTTTCCTGTTGGTAGTTTTCCCTCTTCTCATTTATTTTTATTTCCTTCTAAATTAAGTTCTTAGAATTATGTTGATTTGCAAAAGAAGTAATAAGAAAAATAAAGAAGTATTACTGTAGGAATGACTAACAGCTCTTGTGTTTTAAGAGAAAGAAAAAATACTCCTCATGGTAAATGTAGCTCATTTAGCATATTGCCAGATTCAAAACATTTGAGTTAGTTTGAGTGTATAAACATGTTTCATATGATACATCTCTTCTCTTTAAGAAGTATGGAAGTTTTTAAATATCTAAAACTATTTTGATATGCCCCTTCTCAATATAAACACCTAATTCCTTGGAACTTCGAACATTTAAATCAAAAAAGTGTTTGTTGTTTTGCTGGCATGATATTAGGTGTTAGGTTTGAACATATAAAAGGCATGGTCCTTTGCTCTGGGAAAAAATTACCATCTGTGAGATATCTATATCCATATCAATAGAAATCTCCAAGAGTCTGCAAAGATATTTAGGTCATAGGTGAACCTGATTATGACTAATAATTAAAATTCCTTCCATTGGAGATCAGCAAGAATCCACATAACAAGATGAGGGGGAAGAAAAGCAGCCGTAGATATGTAGCTAAGAGCCTTGCATATCATAAGTGGTCGATAAGTAATTGTTGAATGGTTTTGAGCACGAGTAAATGCAAGGGAGAAATCAAAGAGATCTGATGACAACACCTTTGGAGAAGAGCCAGGAACAAGCCTTCTAGGCTATGATAAAGAGATTGAATTTTTTCCTGAGAGTGTTGGAAGCCATTGGATCAATACATGTAGAAGAGAAATCAAATAGTAGATTTGATGACAAAGAGGAATCTTAATGTTGTCTGTATTGGATCCATCACTAACTCCACAGACCACTATGCTAGATTGTTGTAGTTTATTGGTTTGTTGCCACCAAAAAATGCAGCACAAATGATATAGAACATGTTATAAGAAGGATTTACAATTTGTCACATATTTATTATGGAAATGAAAAAAGGAATGTTGGGTTAATAAGGAAGCTTTTGCTTTAACATAAGAACTATGAAAACTAGAGTAAATATGCTAGAAATATTTCTAAACAGTAGACTATTCATCAGGCCACATACATGTTAAATGCCCGAGGGATATTAATTTAATTCTAACTGCTTCAAATGCAAGGAATTTGTTTTTAGAGGCACCTGGGTGGCTCTGTCGGGTAAGTGTCTGACTTTTGATTTCAGCTCAGTTCATGATCTCGGCTCAGTTCATGATCTCAGGGTCCTGGGACTGAGCCCTGTGTCGGGCTCCACACTCAGTGTGGAGTCTGTTTGGGATTCCCTCTCTCCCTCTCTCTCTGCCCCTCCTCCCACTCATGCTCTAAATAAATAAATAAATAAATAAAATCTTTAAAAAATAAAAAAGCAGTGAATCTTCTTAAAGGAAATATGTAATGTATAGTGTTTTAATCCAAGTTTTGAAAAGGAGAGCAGGAAAATTACCAAAACGGAGAAGACAATTTCTACAGGTGTATCTTTTTAAAAGAATAATTCAGAAGTGATATTTTATTATTATTAATTGCTAATACGTATTGAGTGTTCAGGTTATGCTAGGCACTATAGTAAGCATGTTGCTTGTATTTTTTCCCTTAAGGATCACAACACCCTAAGAAGCTTAGAGAAGTCAAGTGTCTTGGCTAAGTTCACAAGGCCAGTATATGCCAGCCCAGGCTTGAACCTGAGCCTGTCTGACTCTGCAGACCATGCTGTCAACCCCCAGGTCTCCTGCTTTCCTCATTAATCTGTCCTTACCGCCTTTCCTCTCCACCTGACCTCTCAGCATGGAAATTCTTTTAGCCAGTGTTTTAAGTTATATAGAGATGGGTATTTATTAAAAGCTCATAAGCTAAATAAAAACTCATCTTAATCAGGCTTGGACTACAAAATAAATGACTAATAGTGCTACACATGCTAAAACAAACTTGAACTTAAATATAGACATTTAGGTTAAATTATAGTTTGCTGGATAAATGCTCTATGTATGGTATAGGTAAATGCTAGAGAAAAATCAGAGGTGTGTCAATTTAATTTACTACAGAATATTATTTTGACAGGAAAGTCAACCAAACTACAGTGACATCAAACAAAAGTATTGTTCACTCACAGACCTTGTGTTTATCTGTGAATAGGCTTCCATAGCTTGAAAACAGAAAAATAGCTTCTCTCCAAATGTATATCTTCATCTATGTATTTCTGGTCTAATCATGGGTCCATTCAACATTTCCCCAAATCCTTTAATCTTCAATGCAACAAAATTTAGCATCCATGGCAAACAACATAATATCTAAAGATGGATCACATTTTCCTTTCCTCTGTGTTCATGCTTACTTCCCATAAAGTCTTCTCAAATTGAATATGCATTTTCCTTTACACCCTTTTATCTCAGAATCTGATTCTAAATTCCTCTGTTGAGTGATTTTTAGGCTATTTTGAAACACCATAGCTTATTTTATATTTTATTTCACTTTATAGAGTATTTCACACACACACACAAGTCTTCAGCATCACAGTTTAGACTCAATATAAGACTAAACTTACTCATTCTTATAGTCACAAAATCCCTATAAACAGATTTTCAGTCTCTGTAACACCTTCAGTCAACATGATAAATCACATGAAAATTACTTAGGCACTCAATAAATCCTACAGAAACACACTAAAATAAAATTCCATAAACAGAAACCACTTCCAAACTTAAGTTAATGTCCTTAAGAAAATATTCAGGAACTATAGCAATGAAACTT